AACTAAAGAATTTTTTGCTGGATAATGCCTTCTGCAGCGTTCGTGAATTTCTTTGCCCTAGAACTGGTGGGGTAAATATAGTAGCATAGTTGAGAATTTTAATTTATACAAGAGAGTTTTTTTTTTTGTTATGTAAATATTGTATTTTATTTTGTTTTGTTGACGTAGCTAATGCATTTTATGTTAATTTTGCTGAATAAACTACTTATTACTTATGACTTATATGAATGGAGGCATCGATGACATCATATAGTTTGGTTCAAAATGCCTCCGTGAACCACGCTGTAGTAAAGAGCTCTTTGGCTATAATGAAGGTTTACTAATCGAAAAAATAGTTCTGTTCATAAAATGAAATTAAAATGTCTCAAATTCAATTTTGTAATTTTTTAGTTATAAAATCAAACTGTAATAACCTAACCATACTTGCTGATAATCAAAAAGTCGAATGAAGGTTTACTAATAAAAAAATAATTCTGTTAATAAAATAAAACTAGAAATGGCTCAATTTCAATATTATAATGTTTTCTTTGTAAAACAAACATGTCAAACTGTCATAACCGAACCAAACCAACCAAACTTGCTGATAATTAAAAATCTTAGACAAAAAATTAGTGCTACCGGTGGTATTCGAACCTGGCATCTTCAGCTTAACAGCCCGGCGCGCTATCCATTAGACCACCGAGACCGATTGCTCAACACCATATCGTTGCGGTAATGGTGTTCCCTCAACTAACCAGAACCAGCAGGCTCCAAATCGTCATGTAGGCTCATCTATACCTCCCTTGAGTAAACACCCACTTTAGAACGACTGTTATTAGAGGTGGCTGTGGTTATACACATTTATTTTTCCCGGGCTAGCTTTTTCGAAATGCTGGTTAGGAAATTATTTTTATATTCCTATTAAACTGAATATACCGATGTTCATAACTTAAAGTTGAGGTGATTGGATGTTTTCCAGTTCGAATTATTTGTTTAATTGGTAATTAGTTTAAGTTCAAGTTTCATACCTCAAAGTTGGATTTCAAAATTCAAAATTCGGTTTCTTTTAAAATTTAAGAAGGTAATGGCGGCAATAGCTTGCTATTTTTCCCAATAGGACCGTTTGGACGACGGCCGCCTTTAACTCCGACAGTTGGTGGTGATTTCCAATTAGCTTTCTTCATTTTTTCGTAAAGGCATTGTTTCATCTTATTATAGGCTAGACACAATCAAACTTTTTAAACTTTCCTTGTTTAAATTTATTGATAACAACGTATACGTAGCGCATATGTGACTAAATAGCTAATTGTGTTGGAATATCTAGTAGTAATTCAATAACTTTGCCATTTTTCGGTAGTTTTTCGTATCTATTCTGCGCGGGATTGATTTAATTCATGGTATTTCCAATATCTAACCTACTAATGCAAAGCATAATAATTGATTAATGAATAAATCAGTGCATACTCTAATTATTAACTAGGAGCGTTTATAACATTGTATAGTATATAAGGTATTGCAAAATCTAAGTACAATATATTAAAAAACTTGAAATGTTTTATTATTAAAAACCTTATCTCTTTAATCTTTATTTGCATGTTAAATATCCTTTACTGTAAATAAACTTGACCATTTAGCGTAAATCCACATACTTTCGTAATTACTTATAACCAATGAATAAACGTAGTAGACAGTGTACACATTGGATTCTAACTTGCTGTAGAAGCTAGACAGCTGATTTTACAAAATACTCAAACAATAAACAATTATTACTGTCTTTGGCATTTTTATTTGCAAATAATTTACAAATGATTACTGTTAGAAGTTTTAGACAGTTTGAAACGGAATAACTTGGAATTTTTAAACAGCTTTTTTCGTTTATCTTGTTTTGCGTTACAACATTGACTAGTTGGATTCATAAAATGGTCAAAGAAACAGGATATTATGACATCCTTGGCGTCAAGCCCGACTGTACTTTAGATGAGTTGAAGAAAGCATACAGAAAACTAGCTCTCAAATACCATCCAGACAAAAACCCAAGTGAAGGTGAGCGGTTCAAGCAAATTTCGCAGGCTTATGAAGTACTGTCAAACCCAGAGAAGAGAGCCATCTACGATAGGGGTGGTGAAGAAGCATTGAAGGCGGGAACTGGAGGTGGAGGATTTTCCTCCAACCCGATGGATATATTTAACATCTTCTTTGGAGGTGGCAGAAGAGGGCCGGGTGAACGGAAATGTAAAGACGTTGTACATCAGCTCTCAATATCCTTAGAGGATCTGTACAAGGGTTCCACGAGGAAACTGGCAATCGAGAAGAATGTTGTTTGTGAAAAGTGTGAAGGTCGTGGAGGAAAAAAAGGTGCCATTGAGAAATGCGGGACCTGCGGAGGCTCCGGAATGGAAATCCAGGTACACCAGCTGGGACCTGGCATGATGCAGCAAATACGGCGCATGTGCAGCGACTGTAAGGGCCAAGGAGAGAAGATCCCCATCAAAGACCGCTGCAAGACGTGCAACGGGAAGAAGACAGTTAGAGATCGAAAAGTTCTCGAAGTCCACGTCCTTCCTGGAATGGTTGACGGTCAAAAAATCACGTTTACAGAAGAAGGAGACCAAGAACCTGGGTATAAACCCGGTGATATTGTTATAGTACTGGATGAAAAGAGTCACCCCAGGTTTAAAAGATCGGGAAGTGACTTGATCTTTCGAATGGAAATTGAGTTGGTAGAATCCTTATGTGGGTTCAAAAAGGTGATCAGAACTCTAGATGACAGGAATCTTCTGATCACTGTCATTCCAGGGGAAATAGTAAAACATGGGGATATCAAGTGCGTTATAGGGGAGGGGATGCCTCAGTATCGTAATTCGTCCGAGAAAGGTAAACTAATTGTTCACTTTAGTGTAAATTTTCCATCCGTGCTTCCACCTACTGTGATGGCACAACTGGAGCAGTGTTTACCACCAAGGCCTCAGCAAGACGTCCCTGAAAATGCTGAAGAGTGTCTTCTGAGTGATATGGACATGTCCTCCGAATCTAGAAGACGAGCACCCAGAGGACAAGAAAGTGAGTCAGAAATGCCTCAGGTCCAGTGTGCAGCTAGTTAATTGATTGGTTGAACCAGTTGTTATGTACTTAGAGTTTCTTGTTGTTACCGTTTTATCAATTTTATTTCCTTAATAAAATGAATTTAATAATAATGTGTCTACTGGATCTTCTTTTTTTTACATACCTCTAAGGCTTGTGCCTTAAATATACTTAACACAAAATAAGTTAATTAAAAGAAGAGATTATAACATTGAAACACTTTTGTATTAAGAAAGAACTACAATAATATCAAAAATAAAGTTTACAAAAAGTCAGCTGATCATATGATAATTTTAACATTCAAAGTACAGTTGAGACAGTAATTAGCAGATTCAAATTAAAGGCAAAACTATGTAGCCACATACTCCCCTCCCAGTGTCAACGAGGAATGTAACGATGCGGGGGATGAACACTACGACCTGATTTTGGAAAAATCAGTGTTTTTTTAAGGTTAACATCTTCATTTCTGTCTTTAGTCTTGTCTACTTGAGTTTCTCTAGATTGTATGTCATTTTTTCTTACGTTAATGGTCGTATCATTCATAGAGTCTTGAAGGAGGAATGCCGGTTTGAGTCGGTCTATATAGATATATAAAAATTTGAACGAATGGTGTTTTTGGCCTCTGGGGACATCAAAATTAAAAAGTAAATCGGTCTCGGGCCTAAGTCTTCCCATGAGACCTACGGTAATGGCTACTTCCCTATGGGGAAATTCGCTAAAAAACAGTATAATGTGTTAAGTTCTATCACCTAATAATTTTCTTTAGCCTTTACTTAGAACAGCTGATGATTTAAAAAATGATTCATACTGTACAAATAAACATTATTGATTTCTGTTCTTCTTGAAAACATGACTTTTATTTTCTCTCTCTTAATTTTTTCATTAATTTACTCAAATACTCCACATAATGAATCCATAATACAAGTGTGACAAATGTCAAATTATTGTAAAGCCTTCAAACTGCAGAACACATATTATACAGGGTTAGTAAAAAGTGTGGAGACCCCCTGTTATTTTTTAACGGCCCATACTAGAAAAACTAAACTCGGCACACCTTTATGACATGTTATGAAGTACTTTTTGGGCTATAACGAAAAACACTACTAACACTGGGAGCGAACAATAAACATTGAAAATTGAACATACAGAATTAAAAACCAAAATAATATGAATTGAAAATCTATATCTGTACATTTAAAGTGGAGTCAATATTTTCGTGGGGTCCCAGTTTATCGACATCCCAAAAGATTGACACTGAAATAGTCCCATATTGTCGACAACTCAAAATATCGACAGGCTATAACCACCACTTTGGCGTTCATCTTCTTATGACCTTCAAAATGAGGGGGGTCACTCGATGGGGCTTATCATTTAAAATTATTTGTGAGTTTTCCCCAAAATCCCCCATTTTGGGTTTGGGAACTTATGAGAATTTCAATTGTCTGCCATTTTTTTACTGAACTGATATAGAGACCTCTAGTTTGCGTTGGTGGTTTTCTTTTACCAAGACCTTCAAAATGAGGGGGTCACTCGATGGGTCTTTGTATTTGAAATTTTTTAGTTTCCCCAAAATCCCCCATTTTGGGGATGAACGCCAAAGTGGCGGTTATAGCCTGTCGATATTTTGAGTTGTCAACAATATGGGACTATTTCAGTGTCGATCTTTTGGGATGTCGATAAACTGGGACCCCACGAAAATATTGACTTCACTTTAAATGTACAGATATAGATTTTCAATTCATATTATTTTGGTTTTTAATTCTGTATGTTCAATTTTCAATGTTTATTGTTCGCTCCCAGTGTTAGTAGTGTTTTTCTTTAGCAAAATGTCTTACTACTTTGTATAGTCTAGAAAATATTTGAATTCGAAAAGGCTTTACTCTATGTAATTCCTCATATACTTTCTGACAAGTTGTCGTCTGTCTTGTAAATAGTTTTCTTGTTTTCTTTAACTTACGTCCTTTCCATTCTCCTTCACTTCACTGTTATTGTCACTCTTGGAAAATAATATCATATCATAAATTTCAATGTGCTAGGGCTGGGTCAAGTGAACTAGATCATTCGGTCTTTTAATTACTTGTTATTTACGTGTCATAATAATCCAAAATAATGTCAAGTGATTCTAACCCCCAGAAGAAATCCCGGGAAGACTCCTCACCATTTCCTTGGCTCAACAGAATTCCAGGCTATCATTACTACGATACCCCTGATGGCGAGGATTGTCTGCAGAAAGTTATTTATATGAATAAAGTAGGTGCTCTCTTGGGCGGTTTTTACAGCACCTTAGATGTTTTAACCTTGTCAAAACCAGTTGGAGTTGGAAACATTGCCTTAAGGTACGCCACTCTTACCTTACCCGTTATGGCAGTAGGTTCAACCTTTGCTGCGGTTACATGCCTGTCAACTAGTTTTCGAGACAAGGATGACATTTGGAACTATTTCTATGGAGGATTGGCTGCAGGTAGTGTCGCTGGAGCTGCTGCTAGGAACGGCGTGGTAGGAACTGTGTGTGCATTTTCCTTTGGAGTTCTTGGAATGGTAAAGAAATACTCAGTGCAAGAAGGGTTTGATCTTTTCCCTCCGGTTGTCGATAAGGACCGAACTTCTCACCTGGGTCCATGGTCAATCCACTGGGACTTCACATTGGCGCGAGATGATCAGCCCAAAGGATGGAAATCAGCAGATAAATAAACAAGGATGTACACATGATAGCCTAAGTTATGTACTGCAAAAATTAACCATATCTAACTTAGTAATTATTTTATTTGACAAAAAATTAAGTAGGATTGTTAACAGCCTTTAACTTAATAAAGTTTCATCAATCCAGAGCTTGTCTATTTCTTTTTCTAACTTATCAACTATACATAAGGCCTACGTCTATAGGCTAGGGATTGCAATCTGATAATATATATGTCATCACTCACTGTCTCAACAAACATGTTAAAGAAAAAAGGCAGGGTGGTTTTCAAATCGGAATACATGGCTCGTTAGATGGTTGTGTAGGCTATAGGCCCTAGTTAGTAGGTAAATAAACTTACAAAACCTCCCTATAATCTTACCAAAACCAAAATAAAATAGCTGCCTAACCTACTAAATTTTTGTTATCAATTATTGTTTCCTTAGAGAGGGTTGGAGAAAGATTCTTAGGTAAAGATAAACCCGAGTCCACATCACCCATATTGTGATTCTTGAAGTACGGTAGGTCTACTGTATAAAATTGTGTAAAAACGAGTAGCCTAGGCCTAACTTATATAGTAGAGCTCCCACTGTCCGAAGTCCAACTATTTGAATCGCTTGTAGAATTTGAACAACTTTAAATCACAGTATCCGATCATGCTGGTTCACAGGACCAAACCAAATGTCATCAAAATCAATAAAAAATTACTCAATTTATCACGTTCACGGACACACACACACACACACACACATATATATATAGAGGTACCCTATATCAAATTATAGTAGTAAACAAGTAAAACTGAGCACCCTGAATATTTTTTTAAATATTACTTTCCGTGTCCGGAAATCAGACTTCGCTTTTCCAAAAATTAGCTACCGATATGGCTTTGTCATTCACAAGTAAAAGATCATCTAATGTGCAAGACTGGTCTAGGCGTGGACAGATCAGCAGATGGCCAGGATCCTGAACAGCACCACACCTCGACCCTAATTCGATTTAGGGTCTTCCACACCGTGTAATGAAGGCCTCCACCAGGAGCCAATTCCTCCCTGGCTGGTATGGGAGGGTTAGTCAACGCGGCCTCCCACCTCGCCACCCGATTGCTTGAGAGTGATCCATCCAGGACTTGTGTCTGTGATAAAAAGCTCTTTCTTGACCGAAGCCGTCGCTCTGCAGGTTGGTGGCCTTGTAATGGGTGACGAGGGCTGTCTCTTGCTTAGTCCTTTCTGCGACATCACGTCAGATTGATGGAGGGGCGATCCCTATGATAGGATAGAGTTTGTGTACTGGGGTTGGTTTCAAACACCCAGTATATTAAATAAATATATTTATATAATAGCCTATTCACGGTGCTCAGTTGTACTTTTTTACTGCTATAGGCTAATTTAATAGTATCAGCAGCCCTATTACGTGAACACCTAAATTAATATATATATATAAACATATATATGTACAAATTTGAACAAATAGTGTTTTTGGCCTCTGGTGACATCAAAACAAAAAAATAAATCGCTCCCAGGCTCAAGTCTTGCCATGAGACTTACGGTAATAGCTATCTCCCTATAGGAAATTGGCTAAAAACAAGGTAGGCTAACTAAAAAAAAAAATAATGTGTTATACAGTTTACACTATTCATTAATTTATTTACAAAATCAGTATATTTTACCCTCATGATAGGAATCAGTTTTAAAGTAGGCCTACTGTATATTCAAAAATACGGTACTGTACTTCCCCCGGGGGTAAAAAAACTCTTAGCTACGTTCTCCGCTACAATCTTGCATCGCCGCTCCATTGTGTTTTTACCCTAAGAGATAACCAAAGCAATATGAGAGCGGCATCTATTTTTAAATATTGTAGATTAGGGCCTACTTTTATAATTTTTTACAACATAGGTAATCTTACTAATATTATAAATGTGAAAGTTTGTGCGTTTGTTTGAAGTTCAATCACGCATTAACTACTTGATGGATTTGGCTGAAATTTGGCATGATTATAGCTCACATTCCCAATTAACATATAGGCATATTCTTATCTCAAAAATCCTTTCGGGCTCCACCCCAGTGGTTCTGTAGTTCCCATGTTAACCTTATGAATATTCATATTTAAAGGAATAAAAGAATTTAGTCAGCTGTTCAACTTAAAAAGTTGGTTCTATGGCATGCAAAAGCATTAAAAGTTATAAGATTTACCAACAGGGTGCAGCACTATTACTTTTTTGCATTTATGGAAACAGCTAATTGGAACTAGGCAACAACAAAAAACTATGATATGTAATGAGAACTGTCAAAGTAGGATAGTTTACAGTTACTTTTATGTTTTAATTTTGTGAATCATTTGTGATATTTACGAATCTTTAATATTTATTTTTCTCTATTGTTTAGGTGACGTGGTAGAATATGGCCATGGTAGATGTGTAATACTATAGTATACCGTAAATTTAAAGAAGCAAATTTTATCAAATCGTGTCCTCCCCTATTGCAAACCCAAAGCTTGAGTATAACTGCAATAAGCATTTTACACTTATATGCCAATCCCGTACGAAGGACAGAGAGAGAGAGAGAGAGAGAAATTCTTTATTTACAACAAATTATTTTGCAACATTACATGAATCAAATAAAAATATCACATGGGTCACAATGACCTGTGCGTGATAGAGTCCTTATTTGGCTGCTTAAAATCAAAATAAAAGTTCTCCTACTTCACATAATAAAAATAAAAAAATCGAACAATAACTTAGTAAAATAAGCATAACAATTAATTTACTACAATTATAATTATAAAAAAACTGTGAAACCTAACAACCATATGCAAATGTAACTCAATAGTAGGGGAGCTCATTGCTTGCATTACATCCAATACACATTAACTTTTTTCCTTCGATTCCCAATTTTACTGAGGCGTGGATTCCGTCAAGTAAGAGTGCTGTAGAAAGTACAATAGATAGTCCAGTTATCAGTTGGTTAAGTCTAAACGAGATATCTCTGGGACAGATACTCTGCTAATATTATAAATGTGAAAGTTTGTGTGTTTGTTTGGAGTTCAATCACGCATTAACTACTGACGGATTAGGCTGAAATTTGGCATGATGATAGCTCACATTCCCAATTAACATATAGGCATGGTCTTATCTCAAAAATCCTTTCGGGCTCCGCCCCAGTGGCTCTGTTAACATAGAACACAACAGTATCGGTTAAATAACGAATTGAAGTTGTAAAAGGTCGAAATAAATCATTTTATTAGCCTCTGCCACGGTCTGAGAAAAGGGACCTCTTGTCGCTCAATGTTATTTCGCCTTAACGACAAGAGCTCCCATTTCTAATATTCACTTTAGTTATAAACAAACTTTAGTCCAAAATTGAATTGTCCTGCATTCTAGTGGAAATTTAGAGAACTTCAACAAATTCAGTTAACGGAGCACAGATTTCGCGGCCCCGACAAGAGTACCTTTTCTTATCTTATGGAGAAATAACATGGGGCCGACAAGAGGTCCCTTTTCAGAAGTGCGATTTTTTCAACATGCTTCGATAAAACAATTATTTAAATCAAAACTACCGTGAGTTAAGACAAAAATGGTATTGCCTCGAAGAGGACGTTATAAGCTTTCTTTTGATACCAAAATAATTTCTTAAATAAAAAAAAAAAACTGATTTTATCCGTATTTGAAATTATCTAAATAGTTTTTTCTCAGAATGACCCTTTTCCATAACAAAACTTCAAAGTCCTATAACTTTAACAGAAAAAATCGTTGATGCATGGGATTTGCACCAAGCAATTCGGAATTTAATAAGGAATTCAAATATATATAACTCAAATCGAAAATTCCCGACAAGAGGTCCCTATTTCGCTTTCCATATCACATATTACAAACCAATATTTTTACTCCCAATAAAGCTGATGAATCTCTTTTTATAACAGCTGTTTTTTGTTTTTAAATTTATTCTGTGTAATTCTTAGGGAGAAAAATGGACCTTTGAGAGCGCCTTGCACCCTTAGGGTAGGAATTTTTAAACTTTATACTTGTTAAACTAAAAAAAAGTAATCTTAGGGAATTAATCTGGCATTTTTAAGGAGATATTTTTGTGAAATTATAATGAGGCAAATAGAAATTTTCATAGTCCTGCAGTTTTGTTGTGGCGAGGGTAGGCTCAAGGCCCACTAGAAAAACAGGCCATGCTGCAGCACGGGCAGCGCACTACGTCACAGTGGTGGATAGTTGTACTAAACTATTACCATTAAAATCTTACAAACAGCCAGATTGTTTATTTACCTAAAACACATGGAATGGCAATGAATTTATCAATGAAATCTATCCACTAGTGTGACGTCATGGATCCTGCAGCATGGCCTGTTATTTCTAGTAGGGCCTTGGTAGGCTATAGCCTACTAATATGGTAATTGCATCAACCAGCTGTTTATAATTTAATTAATTAGGCCTAAATACTGTAAAATTTGAAAGAATGTAAGGCGGAGCCCTTCAGGAAATTGGCCTTTGGAGCAGAATTACCAGGCACGAGGATATGATATCCACAAGTTTTTATTAGCTCTTTTTTACCTCTTCAGGAATCCTAAGGAATTTCTTTCTGACGGCTAGATTTTAAGTTACCTGAAGGAGGAAATAACTAACACGTTTTGACACAAGGAAGCAATAAAACAATATTGCAAACACTTGTCTAATTTTTTTTGCTAGATGTAAAATAAATAACAATTGAAAACTATAAAAAATATCACCAGTCAGTGCAATTAGAACTTCTATCGTTGCTCAGTTTGTTTTCTTGTCGTCTGATGTCGAGTCCATTTCACCGACAGAGATTGCAGCTTCATCCATCCTGGATTTGTCAACTGGATACAACCTAAACGAGGCAAAGACAAGCATTAATTTAATAACATTTTTGGAATGAGAGTTACTCACGTAAGCTATATCCAATAATGTTGACAATGATTGCACATATTTTGTTCCAAAACTATTCTTTTCAATAATTACAAGAAAAAGATCATTTCAATAATTTTTAAGAAAAGTTATAATGCACTGTCATGAAAGAACAAAAACATTTCCAAGTGTGTGGGACTCTCTCTACCGAAATGCCACCTCATGTTGTCATCAACTTCGGAAAGACGCAGGCCTAAATTGGATTTATACAGTGCCAAAACATAAAAGTGTGTATTTTGAGGCAAAGGTGAATGAAGGACAGGAGTCTGCGAGTCAGACTTTTTACTTCAGGTTGGGTTTAAAATATTGGCCTTCAGAACTCAGGCCAAAAAAGGATTTCTTTAGAATGTATCGATTTTTAATATTTATTTGGCATTTATTGTAATAGTACAACCGGCTCATAGAAGATTGTACATTACCTCCTGCAATCGTGATATAATAAACATTTGTTAACATCTTCGATCACAGCAGCAATATCGTGAATGCCTTCCATGGTTACGGCAAATTGGGGTCCGTCGTCTTCTGCAGTCTCGGGGAATTAAGAACATCTTTCAAGATCTCAAAAAATATTTGTGTACTTCACAGTCACAGCACTTCATGAACAGCCTCCAGAGACGTTGTCATCGTCTCCTACCATCGTGGCAAAACCAATATTATTACCCACAATTGGGCAAAATCACCAATTTTCAATCTTGTATCTTTGCAGACGTTTCTGCGATAGCAAAAATAAAGGTTGGCTTTGGCTTGAAATTTAAGCCGCTCGCACACCTCTAACATAAATGGGCCCCAAGCTTGGCCCCAAAACCGTTTCCAGACTGAATCGGTCCCCTCGGATAAAAATAAATAAAATAGCTGTAAGATTTTATTCTATTGTAAATGTTATTTCTAATTTAAATGAACACAAAAGATTACGGCCTGATAGTCAATTATGCGTGATCCTAGACTCAACGGTACTAAGCATTGAATAACTTCTTGGATCAGCATCGTACGTGTTATTAAATAATTACCTTATTATTAAATTGATTAAATTGATTGATTATTAAATTACCTGAAAAAACCAAAAATATATACGTCTAATAACACTAGTAATGATATATTTACACTTTTACTGTTGACTCACAAGATGGTAAATACATATGAAAGATGGTAAGTGGTGATCGATTTCGATTTGACACTCCAATCATCATCAGACCCATAGGCGAATGACAAGAATCAAAATTGTGTCCTTTATATACTATTGGCTACCGGAAGTACCGGCCAGTAAGTTTTTATAGGTACAACTGGAGTCAAAATTCACTTGTTCATTGATTAGCTTATTTCTATTTTACATTTTTCCTTATAAATATACATTCTTCCCAAGCATTCATCATATTTCCTTTCTTACAATTCCTTCAAAATACATACATTGTCTTCCATTTTCCCTAATGAGTGGCCATTTTGTAACAAGTGTTGTGCGACATTTGATCTTTCCGGTTTGTTGTTTTTCCAAGCAGAGACATGGTTTTTGAAACGTTTAATAAAGTTTACAGTTTGTCCAGAGTAAAAATGATCACAAACCTTACAACTATTTATAGATGCCTGAAGCGGTCAAATTTGTTACAATCTTCTATATGTGGATGCAATATTTACTCAAGGTTTTTTGAGTTCTGAAGGCCATTGATACTCCATATTCTTGAACTTGTTAGCGATCAGCTATGTCCCTGGCTCCTGTTTAAAATAAATGTAACATTTACCTGGAGTTTTCTACTTTTATTTCTTCCAAAGTTGTTCTGTTGTGTAACCTTTTCTGGCTCTCGATTTTTGTCTCGTCTTTTTGGCGATTTCTTCTATTGTTATAGCTTGAAATCCCTTAGCCTGCGCAATCTTCTTTATTGTGTTCAATTCCTTTCTCCTACTGGCTTCATTAAGCTTGGTATTACATGAATCTGAAGGCAGCAGTCTTGTGGATTTTGACGAGTCTACTAAAAACTCTAAGACTAGACTAGAATCATAGTAATTTTGAAGGATGGTAAATGGTTTAAGCTCTCAAACTGGAGTAAAGTTACCAAAATACACCCAAACCAACTACCATGACCAGCAAAACACAGGCTTGTAAAATATATTTATTGCATATCGGCAGTTAAACGTGAGTAGGCTTTGCTATAATGCATTTTTTACGCTAAGAAACAATATCACAAGCTATTGAGTGTTGATAACCTACTTTCTTTTTTTCTGATAGTCAAGCCATAAATAGTAGGACATTTTTCCAAACAAAACAAATTTTCTACTGTATCCATCTACAATTTCTGCATAATTCATAAAACACATTGCCTTACAATTCCAACTTTTCAGACAGTCGATCCCTGGACTTTTAATAAAGAATCCTGAAGTAACAGCTAAACTTGGTAACAAAGCTACACAGATAACCTCACTAGACTCTTTGTTCATTCATCTTCAACTTAAATTACACTCCTCGGAGTGTGTCGCTACTTCAATGAATGTAAATGATAAACCTTAACTAACTAGTACTAATACTGGATTATGACAATCACCAGTGCATTTGTAATTGGATGTTTATTAAGAAATGCATATGTTTAGTAAAAGTAATTAGCCTATACATAGGTGCAAACGACATTGGAAGCAACTTACCACCTCTGATAGAGATATACCAGGAAGACTACGTCATCTCTGAAGCAAGCCAGTCTATGTGCCGTTGGCATTGTTATTATGAAGGCAAAAACATCATCAATGAAGGTGTTGAACGCCTAAACAAGCAAAGGAGAAATATAAATACAAGCCTATGACGATGCAACAGACATAGAGACTAAAATTGAAAGAATTAATATTTTTTGTAATAAAATTTTTCCAAAGCATCCCAATTTTGGGTTGAGACCGAAAGGTTGAAATTAACACAACCTCAAAACAAAAATGGATACTCCCCATACTTCTGCTAAAAAGTTCAAAATGTGATTCATTCAGATCTTAAATTTATTTAGAACATAATCAGAATCAATTAGATTTCTTACAATACATCTTAAAATAAACTTTGACTAGACCACTAAGATGAGACAGAACTTACCTTATACATGAAAGATCTCCACGGAAGATGAGCCACAGATTTGAGCCGATAGTTGATAAACAACTGAGGCAACATAAATAGGAACCCAAAAGCATAGACTCCGTTCACTAAACTATGAATGCACCACGAATACCAACTGAAACATACAAAAAAGGCTACATTCACAGGGTCTGTCCTTGCTGAAGGAGAATTGTAATTCCCCGCAAAAGGTTAATCAGATAAAAAATATTCAACATTATGCTGTACATGTTTGTGTTCAATCTATGTGGTGTGTGCTCCAATAATAATCTATGTGGTGTGTGCTACTGAAGCAGATGGTATGGATTCCCTGGACATGTGTGTTTTAAAATGACACACTGCCAAAGCATGTAACGCTACACTTGTAAGGTACTTTCGGAACTGCTGTCAAATTTGTAAATATAATGTAGGCCTTAACATTTGTTCTTATGTCCCAACTTCACATCCTAGGTTCTAGCATCCTACACCATTTTGCACATCATTTCAGGCTAGGACCACAGGGTTGCGGCATTATCACTTATATAAACTCATTTGGGGATTGGCTTAATTTGAACCTGAGACTATAGGGACCAAAGTCTGGCGCTCTAACCCTAGACCAGCTAACTATCTGAATTAACATTATAGAGCTAATACAGCTGAACCCAAAAAAGACTATTAGTGAGAGAAGACATATACGAATGGAACGTTCGGAGAAGGACAAGGTATTTCTCATTACCTCCTATGTGACTCGTAGACCAGCGAGTACACAGCAGCCCCGATACACAGGGGATACAAGACGTAGGAGAGATACTTCATACTCTCAGCGTCAAAGTCCCTAGTGTCTCTTTCAGCCTTCGTTAGTTTTTGAGGTTTTAACTTGAACCGTCTCCAGTCCACAGGAACAACCTTCTGCACCTTCCAGATCTGAAATAAATAGGTTCCTTAACACTTAGCGCTCCATGGATAAATTGGTGATTTAAATACACCTAATCCTATGTACACAAAAATCATACTGTAGTTATTTATAAACAAATCTTAAGCAGACTCTCAGTTAGCATAGCCACTCAGGTTTAAGTGCTTACATAGTAATCAAAAGTATACTGGTTCAATCTGAGAAAAGTGAGTAGCTTTTGGATGGTTTTAAACTGGTCCCACCTGTCCTTCATCGTTGGGCTTTTAAAATCAAAGAGTCAGTAAGTTTTAAATGTGTGAAATTAGTCAGTAACAAAATACATAGATCATCTCACTCCATCCTACAATCCTACCTTGCATTCATATTCAGCTTAAAATATGCACCCAAGTGTGTATTACTGTCTTAAAGAATTGATAATCGGAGAAGTGGCGAATTGCCTAATTTGAGGTGAAATAGAAACCACCCGTCTTGTCAAACTCAAACTTTTAACCAATCTACCCAAAATGTGTTTTAAGGAGACAAAGGATAGGATAAACACTAAACAGGCTTACCTTTAGAAAAGTAGGCATCCCACTTCAAAACAATGAATATTTCTAGGCCACTGGCCCCTTTCTCAACATTGAGAGTCACATTAGATTTCAAGTATCTAATTTGACTTTAAATGTTGAGAAAGGGGCAAAAAACATAATTAAAATAATTTATATGAAACTAAAAAGTTAATCTGAGTATTATGTTAATTTTGGTGGTTGAAAAAATATTGTGTGTAGGCTTATTACAAGCATAAACAGCCATTGCTGGTCTTGAAACATATGGCTGCACTCGGCTAAAGCATCTACAGCAGTTCTTTCTACAGTTCTCGAGCAGCAATGACATACTTTGCGCTCTAAATACACAAATAGCTATTTATTATGTCCCACCTTCACACCCTAGGGTGCTAGGGCCTGGAATCAGTGTATGCATTACTTCAGGCTAGTCCTAGAGGGTCAAGGCTTTATCACATGGATAAAACCAAAACCCTTTGGTGATTAGCAGGATTTCAACCCAGGACCTCAGGGACCAAAGCCTAATGCTCCTTAATATTGAATTTTAAATTTGACTTCCAGAGTGCAGCATATGTCAGGTATAGCTATCAGCTATTTTTGTTGAGTTATACTTGCAGCACGGATAGTTTTAAAGTAAATTTTCAGTGTACCATACTCTTGTGTCTACTTTGTAAATCTTCGGATCTTGAAGATTTAAATCAGCAAGTTCCACTTTCAGTGGTATTTTTGTTCTTAAAATAATTACAAGTAAAATAATGTACACTAAACCTATTTATCTTACTACCTAAAGATCCTAATGTACAATGTTGTTAATGACTAATTTCAAATATATGTCACGTTCATTGATAAATCTTTTCTGCTATAACTTATTTGTGAAGATTAAATATCACATGTTTTAATACTGTTAAAATAATAGTAAATAAACAGTTATGAAATGGTGTACTAAAAATAAACTGACTTTTATTTGACTTGGATGATTGAGAATATAATAAATGTAGTTACCTCTATTAGAGTAGAAATTCCCGAAGGTATCAAAACTAGCAGAGATGTTTCTTCATCCATTAAGTACAGAAATACGACAAACTGACTGAAGGCTCTCCACATTATCGTCCTCCCCGACAGGCCTGCCAATGTCTTTCTCGTTCGCCAGAAATTCACGTCGTTCTTTAGCGCCAAGAAGTCAAACAGGAGCTACAAATACAAATGCATTTTCTAGCTAAAAGATGTATAAATTGCAATATAAAATTAAATGAAAAAATATTCCCTTTTGCAAACTTAGAACCTCATGATCCTTACAGTTAACGTCTAAAAGTACGATACAAGCTTTTCTTAAAAACAATTTTCTTCCAGGGACATCAAACTCATTTTCCGAGGGTGGGGGATATGAACATTGTTATTTAATACTGTTGCAATGGATTACTGCTGAACTTCTGAATCAGTCAACATTGTTGTGAGTGTAAAGCACATATAACACAGCACTGCAGCATTGGATATAACACAGCTGAATGAGCCTATCATAGAGCATGCAACAACTAAGTTATATTTCCTCTTTTATGATACTTGAAGGTGACATAAAATATGCAAACATAATGTTAAAATAATTTTGTCTCTACATTTGGTATCATTAAAACGGTGTATAAGAATGAAAATGGCATTTCACAGCAACACACTATGTAACTGATAATATTTTTCTTTCCGAAACTAGCTTAGAATTCTGATTTTAAACTTCATTATTGCAAAGGATAACTATTATAATAAGTTTAATTTGATAAGCTTTTCCTACACTGAGTTTCGTGAGGTAAGGGAATTCCTCCGGTTTTCAAGTAAACTCATCTAAATTTCCTTAACTACTACATTTACTTATCTAATCTAACCTACCTATTTTTCCCTTTTCCAAATTCTGATAAGATATTTATACTTGTAAGGCCATTACACCATTTCCTTTTTGTTTTAAAATAAATGAACATTCGCCTCACAGTCACAGTTAAAATTGAAGTCTTAAAATTAATGTATCTTTATGTGTGTATCACAACGAAAATAAATACAGTAGAATCTCTTTAATCCGAACTAATTGGGACTAGGGGTAGTTCAGACTATTGAATAGTTCGGATTACATAATATATTGTGGTTTTTGCATGACAATGGCTGAACGTGGCTAAAATGGATCGTAATTGTTACGGGAAAAGTGAAAAATGCTTTATAAAGTAACCTACAGTGTTTATTTAATACAGTAGTAAACATAGTGAATAAACAGTACTGTACATTACAGTAGAAACATTTATGGTGCTTATATCAATAAATACTGTACAATAAAGAAGTACTGTTCTGTATATAGAGTACAACAATGAGGCGTTCGGATTAGGACGTTCGGATTAAAGAGGTTCTACTCTAAAAGAAATAACACTCTGAAAAATTAAAAGAGAGGATCTCAGAATCTCTTCACATATTCTACAAGAGTACTCCTCTTTCCTTTTAAAAGGTATATATATAAGTAAGTAAAGTGTATAACGTTACTATCAAAAACTGACGCAAATATTTTGGTTTAGACTTGAGCTTACATGGACAGATGAGATGAACACAGTTCCACACAGCAAATAGATATTTGTGTCTGCAAAGATGCCTTTTAGTTCGTCCATGTCTTTGTCAGCGAACCCCAGGGTCTTTAGCATTTGGAACGCTTCTTTCAGATGTAGAACTAACCTTTACAACCGAAAAGACAACAATCGTAAGAGTGATATTGACTACTTCATGTTTTCAGCCAATCAATCCAAAGAGAAACAAAACTCTAAGAGCCTTTGTTGTAGGAACTAGCCTGACTAACAGACAGTCTTGGCACCAAAGAGGCAATGGTGTAGTCTCCATATCTATTCAAATTTTAAACTGCTTAGTGCTTAAATAATAGTTAAGAGTATGTTCAGTTACAATATAAATCAGGACTAAATAAATTGTTTAAAAGTGTAAAATTATAGCAAAATAAGTACCAGTACTATTTTTTAACTTCCCTTTAGGTTACTATTATTAAATTGGACTTTTCCAATGTGTCTTGTGTTTTCCTTTATATTCCCTTTATACACTTTACATGTTTAGATGCCAAACCTAATGCAATCAACCTAATTCTTAAGGTGTGTCTCAATATCACTTAACCTTGTGATGAAAATTCCTAAGCTTACCTTAATTTTCCTATTGAAATCGGAGCGTAATAGAACTTAATGTCAACTGTTGAGTTTTCTGGTATTTCCACAAGGTTTCGCAATCGGTCATTTAGAATATCAATCTGAATGATGGGCAAAAAACCTCCTTCTTCTGACAACCTGTAAATCAGAACTGTTGAACCTTTAGGAAACGTGTTCCCTGACTGAAGTGAGGTTATCCCACATTTATAAAACCATGGTGTTTATCCCTAACCTCTGTATATTATTTATATTATGTCAACTGTAATGTGTATCGTGTTAAATGTCAACATTTCTACAAAACCCATTGGGTGGACCTTAATAAGTATTTGGTCTCCCTAAACTTCCGACTGAAGATGGACCTAAAGGGTCCGAAATTAATATCGGACAGCCACAATAAGGATTGCTAAGGTAAGAGTTTACATTATCAATTGAAAAATCATAAATTTGATTATTTCTCGGATATTATATTCGTTTTAGCGCTGCGGAGCAGCATGGGTCCTCAAGTCTATTTTAAAAACATTAGGTTTAAAAAGTACCTAGGAATGCTGCTACAGGGAGGGTAAAAAATGTGTTTAAGCTAAATATTATTAGCTTAGTATAAATTAAATAAATTTACCAAGTTTGATCAAAATATATCCATAAACAAGCAAACTATAACAGTTAACTTCTCCATAAGAATAACATGTTAATTGATGTCTTACCGTAACTGTACTGTATAAAAGTTTTGGGTTTTATGTCTGGATTCCGAAATGTTAGTTCATGCTATGTAAGTTTTAACACATATGAGTGAAACATTTTTTTAGCAAACCATCATGAATTATTTACGCTTTATGTTGTTTACGTAGCCTATCAATAGTTAGAGGCCTGTTTATTAGCGTGTTTATAGGTGTGCAGGGTGGCACAAAAATAGCGGATTCTACTGAACCAGGTTATAAACCTACGGTACCAAAATAAGTAAAAAATGTCCAGTAAAATTTTTTTTTATTTCCATTTTGTAATTTTGTAAAAATAGCCTACGTAACTTAATAACTCAAAGCCCTTTGGTCGTTTAGTTACGAAACTTGGTAAACATTTTAAGGTAGGGTTCTAGTTATTAAAATTCTCCCAAAATATGTTTTCCAATATTTAAAAAAAAAATACTTCTTAAAACTAAGTTGACATTAATATTATTTACCTCAAATTATGTTGACATTTGTCAATCATACTGTTTACATAAAATGATGCTGAAATTCATACTATATACCTCAAATGATTTTTACATTCATACTATTTACCTCAAATGATGTTGACATTTATACTATTTGCCTCAAACAATTAATGTTGACATTAATTTATACTATTAACCTCAAAATATGTTGATATTCATACTATTTACCGGTACCTCAAATGATGTTGAAGCTCTGCAGGTATACCTATCTGAGGCAAAGCAGTGATTCCAGTCAGAATGTTAAACCCAATACTGCTCTTGATGTGAGTCACTGGCCTCAGCTGTTTTTTCTCTACACCCCCTGTGGATGGTTACTCTTATGAGAAAAGTTGATAGTACGCATAACAAACGGCCTTAGTCATATGTATTAATATCTAAATATATAGGCAGGACAGTAGATAAAAGTGCACTACCACTTCCTTTATGATCAAATATAGCCTACATAGGATAAGGCAAAATAAGTTTTCTTTTACTACTGTTCTTGGTCGCACTTATCTTGGTGTCATTATTAGTCATCTTCAAGCTAACCAACCTTCTATGCTGTCTTTTTTGCAAAGTAAGCAAGTATCAGTTCTTCATTTGAGATGACATAAAAATCTTCCAAATTTTTATTTTTTTTATTTGGTTGCAACAAATAGGGTGTAACTTAAAGCGTAAGCCTATTCAAGTTGCTAATCATGATAAGCCACATGTGGGTTCGAGTAAAATTGTAAATGAAGTAGGCCTTAATGCTAGTGTTAAATGTGATGAAGTAGACCTTGGTTCTAGTGTTGAAAGTGATTGTCTTTTCTTGAATTCAATTCAAAACTTGCCAGTACCTAAAAATAACCAATGGTATGAAGTTATGGTCCTAAATGATCAGGAAAAAGTTATGTTCAAGTTAGACTCTGGCGCAGAAGTAAATACATGCCCCATTGAATTGTATGAGAAGTTAAAACAAAATGATGGTTCAATAAGGCTAGAGCGAACCAAAGTAGCTCTTGAAGCCTATGGTGGTTCTAAAATAGAATCAATGGGGGTAATAAAATTGAATTGTAGGCCTATATCTAGAAGTAGTTCAGAAGTTGTCGAGTTTGTAGTTACCAAAACTAAAAATGATGTAGGCATATTAGGCCTTGAGAGTTGCAAAAGGTTCAACCTCATTCAAAGAATTGACAAAGTGTCAACCAATCAATCAATTATTGAGATGCGGACGCCACATAGGTGCGTTTTTTAACCCAAATATGAGTGAAGGATGAGTGTAGAATGGTGTGTGATGACCTGTGTAGCTTTGTTACTGACTAAGATAGTAATATTAATAATGTAATAAGCGTTGAAAAACAAAAGTTCATTGAGTCAAACATTGATGTGTTTGAAGGAATAGGTAAATTTAAAGACAAATGTCATTTTGACGTTGACCCTAATTGTAAGGTTACGGTCAAGCCGCCTCGTAGAATACCTTTATCAGTACAACCTAAAGTTAAAGATGCTCTTGTTAAACTTGAAAGTCAAGGTATAATCTGTAAAGTAGATAATCCGACAAGCTTTGTTAGTAACCTTGTAGTTGTTGAAAAACCAAACGGCAGCGTTAGGTTATGTATAGATCCTACTGATCTAAATCAAGCTACTAAACGAATGCCACATTTGATTCCGTCTATGCAAGACATCTCACACAAACTTACTAATAAATGTGTATCTTCTCTTTTGGATCTCAGAGATGGCTTTTATAATATTGTACTTGATGAGGAATCTTCTGAACATTGTGCATTCAGTACCCCTTTTGGAACATTTAAGTTCCTACGTTTGCCTTTTGGGTTAAATATTTCTCCAGAAATATTTCAAAAGTTCACAGAACAAATTTTTGGTAGCATTGAAGGAGTTGTAATTTATTTTGACGATATCTTAATTGCTGGTGTAGACAAAAAAGAACATGATATTATTCTTAAGAAAGTCATTCAAAAGGCTAGGGAATGTAATGTTAAGTTTAACCAAGCAAAGTTTCAATACAAAGTCCAAAGTGTGAAATACTTCGGTGAAGTATTTTCTCGAGAAGGTCGTGTACCAGACCCGGACCGTATTAGAGCAATCATAGGCCTTGAAAGCCCTAAAAGTAAAAAATAATTGCAACGGTTGATGGGAATGTTCAATTTTATGAGAAGTTTTATTCCAAATATGGCAGAAATTACTAGTCCATTGAGAGAACTGATATGAAAAGATATAGCGTTTTTGTGGATGCCTAAACACGAGGAAGCGTTAGCTAAACTGAAGGAGTTAATCATTAATTCACCAGTACTTGCTCACTCTGATGATAGTAAGCCGATAGTATTACAGTGTGATAGCTCTAAACACGGAATGGGTTTTTCTCTATTTCAAAATGGTCATCCTGTAATGTATGGATCGAAAAGCTTAACAGATACTCAAGTAGGCTATTCACAAACAGAAAAGGAAATGTTAGCAATCTGTGAATCTGTTAAAAAATATCATCATTTTGTGTATGGTAGGTCAAATGTAGAAGTTCAAACTGATCATAAGCCTTTAGTGTCAATAATGAATAAAAATATTGCAAATATTCATAACGCTAGGCTTCAAAGAATGCGTCTTAAGTTAGTAAAGTACGACCTGTGTAAAATATGTACCAGGTAAAGAAATGTATGTCGCTGATTGTCTTTCAAGGTCATTTTTAAAAGACAAAGTATATGATGATCCTGAACTGCTAGAAGTTGTTCATTCTTTGAGCAAACATGCACAAGTTTCAGAAACTAGAAAATCTGAAATTCGCGGTGCAACAAAAAATGACGAGACCCTCAATTGTGTAGTTAAGTATGTTCAAGACAGTTGGCCAGATGATAGGCATACTATCCCAAGTCATGTGAAATTTTATTTCCAGTTAAGAGACAGGTTAACATGTGATGACGGGTTATTGTTTTTAGATCATAGAATTGTTGTCCCTAATTCTTTGAGAAGTAAGATTTTAAATCTTCTTCACGAGTCACATATGGGTATTGAAAAACTCAACTTAAAGCCAGAATGACAGTTTATTGGCCAAACATTAGTCGCGATATTGAGCATATCGTTAGTAAATGTACTGTGTGTGAGCGTTTTAGGCCTAACAACATCAAGGAACCTATGATTCCACATTCAGTACCTGATTTGCCTTTTGAGAAGGTTGCAGTGGATCTATTGGATTTTAAGGGTAAACCTTACATTGTTCTTATCGATTATTATTCAAAATGGTTAGAGCTCAAATCACTGAGAAATAAGCAAGCTAGTGAAGTCATATTCAGGGCCGGACTTACCTATGGGCGGAGGGGGCGAACGCCCGAGGCCCCCGGGCCAGGGGGGCCCCGACAGGGGCCCCCTTAAGCGCCCCCTTGCTCATTAGTTTTTATTAATAACCTCGAAAATTGATCAGACACTTACCAAATGGCCTTATTTTGTAACAGCTTTATTTTATTTTCGTTATACTATATTTAAGGTTATTGTTAGGTGCATTTTAAGGCATTGCTAGGAACAAAATTCTTGAACTTAAGGGACTTTTCCTCAGAGTTACACTGGGCCCCACGCTTAGGACTGGTTTACACGAGCATACAGTATGTGCTAGGCTGTGACGGACAAGTTTCAGTTTCAATGAAGCCGCTCGCCCGAACGAACGGCCGTGGCGAATGAGTTGAAGGGGGCCCCGCGCTTGGGGCAAAAATACAATAAATATGAAAACTCTTGTCCCAAAGTAGAACGTAACTTGTAAAATTATGTTGTGTTTTAAAAGGAGATTCACTGGAGTTCAAATATTTTTAAAAATAAAAACATTGCTCCGTATATGTTTTATTAAATGTTATTCTTTTCTTTTACCTCTTAGTACCAATCAGGATTTTAAGGGGTAGAAGTATATTATCCGTTCAATTTAAAGGTTTTGTAAAATAGTAATTAATTAAGTTATGCGTCGAAATTTTGATCTCCAATTTAGTCTTTGGAGTCAAAATCATACAGCGCCAGTAAGATTTTTAAAATCTATATAGGCACTTTAAAACAACTAGAGTCGTCTGATGTTAACAAAACATTACATTTATTGGGAGCGGGTGAGCGTTGTCAACTGAAATCGTAAACAAGCGATAAGCAGAAGCAGCTGAAAAAATAAATGATAATGAGCTGATAAGGGATCCTGTCTAGTCCTGTCTGTCTCACGCACGCGCATACACACACATAAAATGCCTTATCGCCTATCCAAAACAAAATCACTTTACTCCCATAGTTTGTCCTTTGAGACTAGTGGTCACGTCAAGTTGGTTGAAATTGTCTTACTTTTGTGTTATTTTATTGTAATTCTGCAAACTAACAGTACAAAAACAAAGCTGAAGTGAGTAATGTTGTATTCAATGCTATGTTGTATTAATCGATATTGGATCCATTTAAACATCTTTCAGTTACTCATATAAATAGTTAGCTTGTGAGTGTTTATTAGACATTGCAAGATTTTGCTCGTAAATAAAAAACTCAAACTTGAAAGTCCTCAATGGTACTTTTCATGCTAGGACTTTAACATATTATAAAAACGAGAATGCCATAGATACCAAAACCATTATGAAAATAAAATAATCACACCTATATTGTAGTAATATTGAAAAATCATACAAATAGACGGCAATAATCGATAATTTAAATACGTAATAAACAAAAATATATCAATACTTCTAATCCAAATATATTATGGTAGCCTACCATGCTACTATACCAAAATATGCCGTCACTGGTACTACAAAGCAATTGAAACATTTGGTCAGAGTTTGTTTAAATAGTGAATGCAAGAGATTAGGTTTCAAACATTTTTATTTTTTGTGTATAAAATTAAAAGATGCTGTATATAAAAATATGTTAAAATAGTTATATTTTAAAAACGATTTTTGATATAGAACTTATTGCTTATTTGGCCTTAAATTGCTCTATTTGAAGCCTAAATTTAGAAATTTTTCCATACCCCCCAATCCCCCCAGAGGACCCCCCCCCCAAACTGAAATCCTAGGGCCCCATTGGAAAATTTGCCCGGGGCCCCTGAAGTCCTAAGTCCGGCCCTGGTCATATTGAAGCTTAAGTCAATTTTTTCTGAACATGGAGTCCCAAAACACATCTGTAGTGACAACATGCCATTTAATTCTTTTGAATTCAATCAGTTTTGTAAAGAATGGGACATTGATTGTGTTTATAGTAGCCCTACATACCCTAAGTCAAACGGCATGGCTGAGAGAGCCGTACAAATCGCAAAAAACATTCTAAAGAAGTCTAATAATGAAAGTGAAGTATACTTAGCACTTTTAGATTATAGGTCAACTCCGGTAAAAGGTACTAGCCTAGCACCATGTCAAGTTCTCATGAGTAGAATACTAAGATCTAAAATACCCATAAGTAAAAATGTTTTAAAGCCAAAAGTTCAAGTAGATGTCAAAATGAAAATAAAAAATGCACAAGCTAAGTCTAAAGTTTACTATGATAAAAATTCTAAAGTAAAACCAGAGTTTACAAGTCCAAATGTTGTGTATAAAAAAGATAATCTTTGGAAACCAGCTCAGATTATTGGTAAAGCTACAGGTCCTAGGTCTTACCTAATAAGGGAGGAAAATGGTAGAGTACTGACAAGAAATTCAGTTCACTTAAGACAATCTTATAATACACCAGTTCTTAACAGATATAGGCCTAAGAGTGTACGATGAATCTTTTGATGATCAAATTGAGGATGAAGCTAATCCCAATGTTGTTATCAACCAAAATCCTAACCAAATCCAACCTAATGTAGATAGGCCTAACCAAAATGTAAATATCCCTAACCCTGTTCAATTAGATGTAGGCCTGCCCAATCAAAATACCAATAATGATGCGAATGTTTACCATACTAGGAGTGGAAGAGCAATTAAACGCCCAGTTAGGTATCAATAAAAAAAAAAATTAAAAAAATGTAAGAAAAGGGAGATGTTGTATTATAGTGATATATACGTTAATTATATTTATTCTTTGTCTTAGCTAGGCTATGTGATTTGTTGTCTTGTGTTGGTAACACTGTTTGGATATTGTAGATTGATTCAACCACTTCCGTTTATGCTTGATTATGACTATATTGTGACTGTCATGTGTACTCGTGTACTGTAAACTAATCGTAATAAATCCAGTGAATTAACCAAGAATGTGTGAGTATTTCAATACCCAGTAACAATCCAACACCTTAGCCATTACATTATATATGTCATTTAACACAATCCTAGATACTAACCACTAAGTAGCTGGTAGGTAGCACTAGAAGGCACTTGATAGTGGGACAGCATTGCCTGGGTGTAGACTTTATCCTTGGCTTGACTTGCGTCGCTCCACTCTCGTACCGTAGTGTATCTTGGCAGCACAAACAGGTGCATGCATAACGTACCGTTCTTCACAGTCTGTCTCGGTAATGGTACACTTATTGTTCTGGAATCATCAAGGTGAAAATTTGTGTTAAAATGTGGTAAGTTATGAATCCTGTGTTTTTAAAAGTCATAATTGTGAAAGATAACTATTTCAGTTTTAGGTACAGGTCTGTATTTCCTTAACGGCAGAAATGGCGGTTGCCAAGGGCCCTGGACTGAGAGATCTTCACTTGGAGCTTCAAAGGAATTTTTTTCACATGAAAAATGAATTTTACCAACATTCTTTTAGTGGATTCAAAGATAGAGTAGCCTAATTGTTTTATTCTCCTGATTGTCTACAAAGATTGCTCTGTTGGAAATCACAACTTAACCATGGTTGTGGGATACAAAGAAATTCACTATTTTGTCGTGATTGCAGGAGATGTAGAATGTAACTTGTGTTGTTATGAACACGAAAGATGTTCACTATTTTCTATTTTGCGTTGAACGTAAAAGATGCTCACAATTTCGTCATGACCAAGAACACCTTTTTTTGCGTTCACGAGTTTGCCATGATTGCAGAAGTCGTTTAAGCCCATGATATTATAACAATTACAATTTGTTTAATCAAAACTTTCTAAAACAACCTGTTTTGGCCCGAGACATCAAGGTTGAGATTTTTTACCTAACCCGAAGTAAACTAGTCTGTCCCGCAGATCCATTTAGTATGATTACTAATAAATCAAATGGAATTATTTATTAGCTAGTAGACTCTTAAGCTTTCTTGATCTAATCACCGATTGAATCGTGGAAAGCAAAGGTTTAAGTTCATTGAGTTGAAGGAGTGGGCTAACCCGTAAGCTCCAGCCCCACCAAATAATCAGAATACATGGGCCACTCTGGTATAAGCCGCCAGGGGCCTCATAGATTTTAAATATGATCCTGTTTAGGTACAATAAACTTTTCCTATGCTAACTTTTTTGACTTTTTGTGAGGCAAGGAACTTCTCCCATTTTCAAGTGAACTAGGGTGATTAGGTAAATATGGATTTAGGTCACTTGAAAACAGGAAGAATTCGCCTGACTCCCAAAATGTACTTTAGTTAAAACATTTGTCATTTTACCTAACAGCAAAAGTCCATCTTACCTAAAACCAAATGTGGTGTGAGTTGTCTCTGAGAATCACCGGAGAAGAGTTTTTTTACTCTAATGAATGAAAGAAATCATAAAAAAATTCTGATTAATGGGTTAAAAATATTGTTTTACATCCACACTCTTTTGAATCCACACACGGCAATTTTCCAATAAAATTTTACCTTTCAAAGGCAGCATCATAGTCAAAGTCACGAATGGTAGCAACCTTCTGTATTTCCCCGGCGCTGCTTGGCCTCAGGGTAGGCGAAGTGAAAACCGCTATCTGCAACAAAACCCAAAACTAAATTCTTTGGATTGTGGTTTTGCTACTAAAAAGAATGGATCCAAAAAGAAATTATGTTTCATGCAGAAAGCTTTCATCTTTTGACCATAGGCCTTGTCAAACAGAATGTTTTGTAGGTGAACTTTTTCAATTATTGTTCTATTGTTAATTTTATATTACTAACTTAAAAAGTAGTAAAGTACTGGTAAACGTTTTTTAATCATAAAAGTTATACCTGCAGTTTTGGATTGTCTTGCAGATAGTACTGGATACAATGTACATCTGGAGGACAAGGAGGTGGAATGAACAATCTTGCTAGGTTCCATATGGAATGTCCAATGTACGCCAAGAACACAAGAGAAATTATCAGAGTGAAGGAGGGCAACTGCATATCTGTAACAAGGATTTAAATAGGCTGTGACACATTACTTATTCAAGAGTCTGTTCAACAATAACCATGTAGGGTATCCCAACATGTCAAAAAGTAGCTGACATTCAAAGTAAATACATCACAAGTAGTTGTATCTCTTCAAGAATGAATAATTGTGTTCTATAATAAGATTTCTGTGGTTGAAGGTGCCAATAACTAATTTGCCAACCTGAATGGCTAATAATTGTGTTGGAACGTAGAATATGTCCATGAGAGGTGTAGGAACTCTGCACAATATTTTGTACAGTGTACTTCGGCTGTGGAGGTTCATAAGTTTTATTTGAGGCGGTGTCAGAAATTAGAGCAGAAATTAAGATATTGTAAGACAACCAAGGATACCGGTACCAGTAATCCCTGGTAGTCTTGAACAAGCATATCTTCAAGAATAGATTTCTCAAACATAATCTCTGTCTAGATGATCTGATGAACACACAATGCCAGCCTTATCGTCCAACTTTGTACAACCTTCTGCGAACTTCCTAAGTCACTTATGCACATTTCATGTAAAGAGAGGTTGACTTACTTCCTTTACGAATCCAATTACAGTTTCTAATTCACACTTGGCAGGAGCATCAGTTTTCCCTCAATTGCTACTGGCTATACTGTAATGACAAGACTACTACCGTAGCTGAATAGAGGTATAACCACATATACCTCTAGCCTCTAACAATTTAAGACATAACTTAGGCGTGTGTCGGATTTGACACAGTTTTGCAACTGAGGATACCTTAATTTACGGACAAACGTTGTACCTAAAAGTTTCTTACCTGAACTGTGTTATTAGTTGTTAGGTTCTGTAAACTATATTATGATATGTGTGTAAACTATATCCAAGGTGCACTTGGAAAAAATACCATAAGTTAGGCGTAAGGTTTACAAGTCTGGTTATCTGAGTCGAACGTTTTGTTTGTTACATTAACTACGGTACGGTATTTGTTTTTCTAAGTTAAGTTAAGTTGTGTTTTTTTTTTTTTACAAGAACAGTTAGGCTAGTTTAGAAATAAATTACAAAGTTTTGTGGATAAAATGGGCATAAAATCCTGTTCCCATAGAGGGATCATGCTCATTTGCGAACTCGTTCAAATAACTTTGGGTCGATCCAGATTTGTACCGAATGTAGTCAAAACTGAATGATTTTTACTCGAGTTATCGTGCACTCTCATAGCTTAGCCTATGGATTTGACCAGTGATGGTGTTTTGGCCTTCTAGGGACAACAAAACAAAAAAGTAAATCCGTCTCAGGTCTAGTGTAGGCTTTACCATAGGACCTATGGTAGGAGCTAAATTTACTATATGGGAAAATCACTATAAAGCAATGCCAATTCAATTAATGCCTATTAATTCGCGGATCTTTTTTGACATAAATTTATTTAAATGGTACCGGTACCTAAGTTTACCTGGCCTACCTAAGAGTTTGTACCCAACTCAGATAACTGGGTGAACGAATAGTTCTGCATATGGATTTACTATTTATTTATAAGCCGAATTATTCTGCTTTTAGCGAATTTCCCTATAGGGAAGTAGCTATTACCGTAGGTCTCATGGTAAGACCTAAGCCCGGGACCGATTTACTTTTTCATTTTGATGTCCCCAGAGGCCAAAAACACCATTCGTTCAAATTTTTATATATCTATATATAGATATATATATATATATATATATATATATGTGTGTGTGTGTGTCCATCCGCACGATAACTTGGGTAATTTATGTCTGATTTTGATAAAATTTGGTTTGAAGGTGTAAGGCGGGATAAACTTGAATGAGTACGCGAACCAGCATGATCGGACTATGGGAACGGGGGTTTATGGGGGTTTTATGGGGTAAAAATAAGTTTTTCCCATTTTTGACCCTAAAAACACAAAATTTCACCATTTTTTTTAAACCATTTTGTAGAGCTTAAAAAAACAAATAATTTAGTATATTGAAGCGTTATTATGCGCCTAATTGTTACGGAGAAAATTCAAAAAAATTGTAATTTTAAAATTCCCATGTTATTCTTATGGAGAATAAGTCAACTGTTGTAGTTTGCTTGTTTATGAACATATTTTGATCAAATTTGGAAAATACATTAATTTATTACCAAACCACAGTACCTTTTTACATAAAAAAAACTGTTTTACCCTCCCTGTTGCAGCAAACCTAAGTACTCATTAAATTAATTCTGTTTAAATAGGGAATAAAACCACAAACAACAAAACTTTATTTATACATTTCAAACAATTCTACATATGACTATGATTTTCAATCAAATATAAATGTTTAAAAAATAAAATGAAAGCTCAATAGAGCAATGGGGGAATTGCGGCACCATCTTCAAATTGAATACTTCGAATTTTCCGTCTAGTTCCCCGTAGCCTAAGCGAAACCGCTCGAATGATGGAGAGCTGGCTTTGGATCCTCAACCATCCGATAATTTGCAGCCAGGGCTTCGCTTGTTCTCCTCTGAAACGCTTCATATTCTTTGTGGGGGACTCCTTCCGTGGAACATATTAATGGTGTGAAGCTTCCTCTGATGTCTTCGGCTGCTTTGTCATATTTATTGTGTTTCTGAACAGTATGGTTTCGAGATATTGTTCCCCATTCTTGGTTGGCGTAAGAGGGAGCGTCAGCATTAACAATGCGATTATCAAAAAACGCTACTCTCTCAGCCTCCCAAATACCATTAACTTTAAAATCAGCTTTTAAAGCAGGCACATTGTTTGCAGGGTCAGCTTCTCCATAATAGGCTCGACTTCAACCCCTTTCCAGGCCATATTTGCTATCGCAGCACAGTGGTCACGATGTTGATCATGCATATGTTTGATCAATCCTCCTTTTTTACAATTTAAAGCATGTGTGAGATTCATAGGTTGATCACAACCATCACAATAGGGAATAAATGTGATATTTTTAAGGAGACATTTTAGTTAAAATCCAATCAGGCAGATGGAAATTCGCTAAGTCTGCAGGTTTGCTGCGGCGGGGGTATTTGTTTAAGTTTTTAAACCTGAAACTACCGGTTAGAGGCTAAACTAGTTTTAAAATAATATGGTTAATGTCATATGGGCTACTTACTAAGTTACAGAGTTTTATGAAATATATAAAATAATTTCAACTTCTTTCTGACATCTTCTGCAGCGTTAAAAAAGAACTCATTTCATAAATAGGCAAAATTTTAATTTGATTCGGGGACTATACGATAGTTGATTATGAGTCCACGTCACATTTACAAGAGAAGAGAGGATCAACAAACAAACAACAGCAGAAAACAGAAACAGAACGAACCGACAGCAGAAGCAGAAGGCAGAAGACAAGACAAGAGACAAGACTGACGTCAGTGAGTTGAGTAAACCTAAACCACTGTTGCCAATGTAGGTTTGCCATTTTACCCGCCACAACCTCTCTGTGTAGACAATACATGGTTTGTATAGATATAGATGGACATTAACCCTGGATACTCTTCCATTATATTCTACACGACGAACAACAAAATAATATGTACAGTACTAATATAATAAATCTCTTATGGAGGTGGTTCCATTGACCACCTCCATAGAATATGGTTCCTATCGATTCACCGTTTATACAAACCTTGAAAACTACTTCCTAAATGACCTCAAATCGTGAATCATTAATTATATCAAAATGCCCCCTCCCTGTCCCCTTAAAACCAGGTCCCCCCATCGGGACTCTTGGGGACTCATTGGATCTTGATTTCTATTAGTAAAACGAAGTTAATACCAAAGTTTCATCTCTTAACTCATTTTTTTTGTTTTGTTGGTGAATTTTAATCTATTTTGCCTGTACTAAAGGGAGTATTATAATAGATAAAACATACTCCCCTAGAAGTACACCTTTTTACCTTTTAATTTGGCCCTCTTCACCGTAGTCGTAGAGACTAGGGAATCGTCATCTTCTTTTTTTTGGGTCATTATTGTGTTAGATGTGTATATGTGTGTGTGTATGGTGTAAAGTGGGTTCATTTTGGTGTCTATCTTTGTTGTTAGCAGTGTGCTCTTCAAAGAACTCACAGACTCCTACTTGAAAAGTATGTTTTATCTTTGACTTTGGTCGTTGAATAAGACATTATAAAACTACAGTAACAGTAATTTTATTTGCTTATCCTTCTTGTCTGTCTCTGTCTTTTTTCTTCTTCTTCTCTATGAACTGTGGTCTCTGTCTTGTCGTGGTCTTTGGAATTCATCATCTATCGTTCATTGTGCCAGTTAGACAATTCACTAGGTAAGGAAGTCTAAATATTTAAATAAATATTGCTATAGCTTTTAGAACTTTTTAAAAATTTATGATATTAGTTGTATTTTGTAAACATGCTATCGGTTAAGTAGTATAATTCTTAACAGAAGATCTTTTCAACCGGTACTGGATTAGGATGTTGACCTCGGACTCGGCCCGTTGACCATGATTCAACTTAGCCTAATAGGCCCTATGTGCAATTTGTGTTTTGTAGCCTGTCATATTTATTTATTTGGCTTGCTTACATTAACTGGGAAACCGTTAAAAGTGTTAAAAGTTCTTTTCCATAATCGTTATCGTTTTTATAATAACTTATTTACTTTGTTAAGATTTTGGTAAGTTACCTAAGATTTGGTTATCATTATTGTGTGCCACCTTTCCTGAATAATGGCTAGACCAGTCTTGACATGTGTAGGGTGATTGGAAGTAAAATTTAGGGGGAATTATTCCCCAGAGGGTACAATGGGAACCCGTAAGTTAGCAATTTTTTACATCATCAGATAGGCCTAACCTACCTAAGCTACTGAATAACTAGCTGTTACCCACGGTCTTTACCCTGTCTGACTCATCAGTATTAATAAAACAAAAAACTATTGATTTATTAATTTAGGCTGAAATAAACAAAACAGAGTAGGTAGCCTACAGTTAGTTAGGCTAATAGGCTACAAACAAATAACTTCACACCTGATTTTAATAAGGTAATAAATATTGTAAGAATAACATAGCCTACAAATAAGTAGCCTACAGCTGAGGTCTTTTTAACATTAAGTAGGTTTATGGAAAGTTCCCTTTAGAAAGGAATTACAACCTTAATGGGCAATAGGCTATATGAAATACAGTAAGTTAACTCTCCAAGTGTCCATAGTAGGCCTAAGTTAATGGTATTAATGTCCGCCCATTTATTGCGCAATTGCAGGGGTTTATTAAAATGTAGGTCTATCTGAGAAACTTATAAACAATGTAAAGTATACTGTTTTGTATATCATTTTGTGTGGGAAATTATGGGCTTCAATGTTACCTAAGTTATAAAACATTACAAAAAAAATTTCAACAATTTTTGTGGGGTTAACATTTCTCAAAAATTATAAAATAGCCTAAATGAAAAAAATTTATGTTTGCGCTCAATAAATTTTTATAATTTATAGGTTTACAAATATTTTAAAATAGGCCTAGCCACTTTGTTCTAAATTTTATAAGGATTATACAAAAATATAATAATATTAGGAAGTAAATTTGAAAATAAATAAGTTATGGGTGAAAAACAGATTTCGTACATTTAGCGTTAACTAAGAATGCATAGCCTAACCATAGCTGGGAATTTGGCTGATAATTTACATCAGTATCACTACCTACTTCTTCTGGATCATCAACCAGCCCTTTAACCCTCCCAGTGTTACTTGACGAAAATTCGACAAGCAGCACACTTTGTGTAGTGTTACTTGTCGATTTTTCGACACGCAGACATCGTTTACGGCGAAGGCTCTATGACTGACTGAATCAGATTGAACTGGATCGAGTTAGGTATCGTTCTTTCCATAATATTCTAAGCTTTCTCCAGAGGTCTGTCTCAGCGCTGTACGTTCTCTACAAAAACAAAAGATAAGATTGTATTCAGCATCTACAGGAAACCTACAGCCACTGATACCACCATTCATGAAACTTCCCATCACCCCTTCCAACACAAGATAGCAGCATACAATAGTTTCATTCATAGAATGCTCACCGTCCCCCTAAACCCCGATGATTATGAAAAAGAGATAAACATAATTAAATACATCGCCGTCTCAAATGGATACAGCCCTAAATTGATCGATAGTTTAACCAATAAACAAATAATCAAGAAAAAAGCCATTACTAGCACTGATAACAATAAAGAGCGAATGGAGTATGTATCAGTTGAATTTGGAACCAACCTCTCCCATACACTGAAAAACCAGATGAAAAAGCATGGTAAAATTGTAGCCTTCAAAACATCGAACAAACTCCAAAATCTCCTTTCCGTAAAAAATACACCACAGGATTTTTGTCAAAAAACAGGAGTTTATAAAATAACCTGTAATGACTGTGATAAGTTTTACATTGGCCAAACTGGAAGGCCCTTTGTAAAGAGGTTTAAAGAAAACCATCGTTCAAAAATCAAATTTCGCCGACCATTTGGTAGCCAGTAACCATAGTTATACTGATATAACAACAAATTTGCAGCCTTTACATATTTGCCAAAAAGGCCGAACAATGACGGCATTGGAACAATTCGAAATTTACAGAGCCTCTAAAATTGAAACAAACAACCTGTTAAACGACAAAAACACCCTGCAATCCAACATTCTTTTTGAAACCTTAATTCAAATGAATAATAGCCGAAACAATGCTGCACTAGCTACGTCACCAGGACAAAGGTCAGATCACGACCAACTACCGTCTTCAGTCGAGTCTCGACACACGTCTGGCGCGCCTCCATATCCTGCCCGTGCACGCGTAGCAAGAGTAAAAAATGTTAATTAACGGTCGACCGGTTTTTATATGTGTTTTGTGTTGTGAACATCTTACGCACCTCTTCAGGGAAGTTTAGTGTAAACAGTTCTTATATGGATCCGACGATGGCGCTCGCGCCGAAATGTACATAATCCACTAGGACAATACTTGGACCACAAGGCGACAAGCAGGTATTTTAACCTTTTATTTATTTGTCAATCAATTGGTCCGGAAACACCACAACAAAATATGAAACTGTTGTAGGTAGGGTAGTTTGCTTAAGTTTATGTACCTATATATTTTGATCAAACTCAGCAAATCTATTTCTTTTATACTAAGCTAGCCTATTAATATAGCCTACTAAAAACACGCTTTTTTACCCTCCCTGTAGCAGCAATCCTTGGTAATCGTTAAACCCAAAGTTATTCATAGATTAAATTGAAAATCAAATCAGGCAAATGGAAATTCGCTTAGTCTGCAGGTTTGCTGCAGCGGGGTATTTTAAACTATGTTTCTTGCTATATAATACTCGCTCAATAACTTAATGTTCTATACATAAAAATGAATCCCCAGAATCTTATCTTTCTAATGGTATAAGATTCATTGAGATTTAAAACGGTTTTCATATTTTAATAATAGAAAAACCCGACCCATGTCGTCTTGGTCGATAATCGACCAGCGCCAGATCTAGGGTTAATGTCTAGACATCAGTGACAGCTAGAAAAAAATCCAAATAAGTTAGGTTTTTTATTTCATAGATAGAACAACACAAATCTAAATTAACAAACAATATGAAAAGTTTACAACAATGCTAAGATGAGGCTTATTTCTAGCTGATAGGCACTTAAGTAGGAAACAACTTGGCTGCTAACATAGGCTAGCCTATGACCTTGTTTGTCCCTAAAAATTGAAAATTTACCCTCCGCCCATAAAACGGGCACAAATTTGTCAACTAGGCCTAATTAACTGCTCATCATTGGTTTTTGACATTATTTTTGTTTACTATATTTCCTCTTAGTAAATAGACCCTCTTAATCCTGTTCTGCGGCACTCCAGTAATCCGGCGTCTTTTGACGGGTGTGGTCTTCTGCGATTGCGGAAAAATTCTGTTTTCTGCTGCCGTGTAGACATCATCATCGACTCCTGCTGTCTTAGAAATGCCATCGTCGTCTTGCGTGATTGCGGCAAAATCATGATCATCTCCTGCCGTCGTGTAGACATTTTATCTTTGTCTTCCATGATCACGGCAAAATCATGAGTCTTCTCCCGCGGCCGTGTGGATATCATCAATTCCCACAGTCATAGTCGTCATGCGCGATTGTGGCAATAGCGGTTTCTGATCGTGCGACCTTCGTAGACGTGTTTTGTTCATTTTAAACTTATTTAAGTGTTTTTAGCGAATTTCCCATACAGGGAATAAGCTATTACTGTAGTACTCATGGTAAGACCTGGACCCAGGACTGATTTACCTTTTTGTTTTGAGGTCCCTAGAGGCCAAAAACACCACCTGTCCAAATTCATATATATATATATATATATATATATATATATATATATATATATATAGGCCTAGTGTCCGTTAGCACGATAACTCGATCAAAAATGATCCGATTTAGATGAAATTTTGTATAAACGTGTAAACCTACATTTATTCGAACTAGTTGGCGAACCAGCATGATCGGACTACGGGAACGGGTGTTTATATAAGACTCCATTGAAACCAATAAATCAAACAATTTAGTATATTGAAGCGTTACTATGCGCCTAATGGTTACGGATAAAATTAGTTAGTAGTTAGTAGTTAAAGTCAGGTAGTTATTGCCCACAGATTTCCGGCAGAATTATCGATTCCCCACAAACTCCCCTGACTAGAGTGGTGATTAAAAGTGTGGTGTCTGGTAACCTGCTAGGTTTGTTCCGAGCTCTGATAACAGAGACTATCAAATTTAAGGATATCCTAATCACTATTGTCTCCTGGGAAAATCCCCGCAACCCGACTCGTGTGATTCCTTTTATTTATCGTTAAGGTGGCGTAATTTCCTACGTTACCGTCCAAGTTTCGCCGACAGGAAATTTACATCACAAACATACAGCTTAACTTATTAGTTGTTTATAAATGTCATTGAGGTTAGGCCTAGTTTGTTTTTTTAGGTTAGGCCTAAATTAAAATTTGCTTACCGGATGTTAGTGTTTTATAGAAATACCAACAGTGAAATCAGCTGACTGAGTAAAGCTGAAATGAGCTATTTCATGTACTGTTTACATGTGTGGCAATTTGGCAATGTTATCATTTCCATGCAATGGTGATAGGAAAAGCATACCTACTTATTCTGGTGTCAATGACTTAGGTTAACTTAAATATATTATGCCTGTGAAAAACCGTTGTTTCAATTTAACTGTACTGTACTGGCTGTAGGACTTTTTCACCGGGGTTTATACAGAAACATTTAAACACTATCATAATAGGTAAATTATTTCAGATTTGTAAAATGGCCGTCAACGTATATTCTACAAATGTGACAACAGACAACTTGAGTCGCCATGACATGTTGGCTTGGGTCAACGATTGTCTACAATCACAGTTTGCCAAGATTGAAGAGCTCTGTACAGGAGCTGCGTACTGCCAGTTCATGGATATGCTGTTCCAAGGTTTGTTTAGGATATTCATTTTTTAAATTTCAATAAAATTGGAGTGGTGGAGTGGTAAATTGGAATCCATTGTATGTCCAGATTTAAGCTATAGCCGGAATTCCTAGTTGTTATCTTGATTTAATTTACTATCAGACAATGATTTTATTCAATCATAATCCTCTTATTCTTGTGCTTTCTTTGCCAATGGCGTTTGAAAATTTGTTGAGGGATTGGTCCAAATCCTGGTCTTGTTACTATCCAACCTCGATCTTATGTTAGACAGTATCACTTTGATAGCCCAATGATCAATAACATTTGGGTCCAGAATTGAATCAAACAGCAACCTTCAGTTTTGTGGCAGCACTATAACCACTCCGCTATTCAGACGATAGACACCAGTGACGCCACTGACCCTCTTGTTTAAGGGGGCAATAGGAAGACTAAAGAGAAGTTTTTAACTCTTGACATGTTCTCCTTCTGTTGGATTATTATAAAAAAATATTCTCACTGTTTTATAAAGGTTATTTTATGGTTTACATTAATCTGTCATCTGTACGCCTACACCTATTTTGAAACACAGTAGGTACACTGCTACAAAGATTAAATTGTTGAGAAAGTAAATGGTCAGATTACTTGATGAACAATTTGTATTTGTAAAATGGTTGCAACATTATGCAAAATGTTGACAAACATAAACCCAACCTATATTGAAATGTTTGTTTCTAATAGGAAGTGTTCCACTGAAACGAGTCAAATTCAGGACAAATTTGGAACACGAGTATATTCAAAACTTCAAAATCCTTCAAGCAGCATTTAAGAAAATGGCAGTGGACAAAGTGAGTAGAATGGTAGTTTTGGCCTTATTAATCTTATTACTAAACAATTTAAAAATTAGAAATTCTGGTAAACTGATATAATATTTTGACTTTGTTTTTTGAGCCGATTCAAGATGTGATTTATATTCCAGACCAGATTAAGATGAATACAACAAAGTGAGTTTAAGCCACTGGTAGTTTTATTAAGCTAACTTAAGACCAACTTTAAAGGTATTTTTGTTGAACTAATGAAAGCACAAAAGATATGTCAAATAACACTTATAACAATATATTTACACTTATACTGTTTACCCACTAGACGGTTAATACATAAAAGATGGTTTAAGTGGTAAGTGGTACCACTTAGCACTTACCACTTACCATCTTTTATATGTATCTGTCTTGTGAGTAAACAGTATAAGTGTAAATATACCTATTATTAGGCCCATAAGTGTTATTTGACTTTTTTTGTGCTTTCAGACAATTTAATAACACGTACGATGCTGGTCAAGAAGGTATGAAGTTATAATGCCTCAAATGGCCGTTTCACTACACATTTTAAAACAGTTTAGGAAATTATCAAGTCTCCACTACAATTTTTTCTGAATGCAGTGGTTTGGTAGACGTTGGGCTGGGCGCTGGGCTGTGTATGAGTATCCAATCAATAGCAGATAGCACACTAATTGTCTTATGAAGTATCATCCATGCGGTTTCCTAGACTGTGAATCAAAGGAACGTGTAACTAATACATACAGAATATTTGCTGCAGCTTGGACTGTCTGCTCTCGGATTTTGTGGAAGTTGAACCATCCATACTACAAAAGTAGATAGTCGGAAGTATTCGTAGAACTTGACTTTACTGTCTAGCACTAGCTGTCTAGCACTGTCTAGCCTACAAACAAATAATGTGTAGGCCTACACCCCCTCACTTTCTCTTTTGTTCAATTTGGAACAAAACTTACAACTCTTCTTATCAATCTCATCATAATTGTCAAATAACAATAAAGCAGCCGCTAACAATATCTCACATGAACTTATCCTCCTGTTTCAACTCCGTACAACACCACCTTAACGATGGTTATCTTACGCAGTCTTTGAAACTAATACTAGAAGCTGCTGCGTTCCATCACAACTTGGTTGCAGTGTATCTATTACGCGTCTAGCAAACCACAGCCATAGTTGCTAAAATTATATGAATTAGTTGAATGTCTGTAGTTGAATTTATTTTTATTATGCCCTGCTATAAGGGTTGCTATAGATCTTGAACGATGAATCGGCACTACTAGCCATCCTACAAGTTTTTGACAAGCTATCGGACCAGTGGGAAGGGTCGGGTCCTAAAGCCACCTATTGTCCACCATTAGGGCGGCTCAACCCTCATTAGTGCCACTCGGTTGCACTCAGTAAGGAATCCAATAGCATAAAATAATTCTCTTAATGAATAAAAATAGTTGAAAATAATTGTGATATTGAGGTTAATCTTGAAATTTTGAGCATTTTTATGTAAAATTTTGAGTAAATCGGCTAATTTTCACATATTAATTTATTCCAAAAGTGTGTTTTACCAGTTGCTGAGTTGAGTCAAAATTTACAACAAATTACTTGAAATTTAAAAATGAATTTAAATAAAACAATTATTTTCAATTATTTTTATTCCTCCATTGAACATTGAATTCCTTGATTGAATTTTATTTCCTTAATGGACTCGACGTTGTGCTGACTACGGCTCAGAGAAGCGTGTAGCCTATACTATTGTAAGGTTTTATAACGATTAAACATTACTCATCATGAATAAATTTAAATTAATGATGCCATACATTTATATATTTTTCGGATTTGGATGTTATAAAGTGATGACTGCCCTAAAGCTAACATAATTTGTTTGAAATTGGTATTGTAATATAGCCAAATATTATACAGAAAAATCAGTAAAAATGTTATGTTTGGAGTACATATAGGTGCGTTCGAGCCCAATTTAATACAACTCAAGTATTAGTACGTACAGTAATGTCTCATTCTGAAAAACGGGCATGCAGTAAAAAATTAACAAGTAAAATAACAATGTTTGTAATAACAATATGGTCATTACTTAGGCCTACTACAATTTCCAGACTTCAAATTTACAATTCCTCTATCCCAGAAAGGTCCATCTCTTCTCCTTCAGATGGTTGATCTGCACCTTCACTGTCCTCACTGTCACTTTCTCATAAATCAACAATAACAGTATCATAGAACTCATAAATTGATTGTTCTCTCTCAAAATACTGATCTTCAATATTTTTCATGTGACTGCAGCACTTTTCCCACTCACTGCACCGATTTCAGAAACCTTCGTTTCAACTAATCTCATAATACTGTTCATATTTAACTGACTGTTGCGTTCAGCTACGTCCCTTGACCTAAGACCAGATGAGTTCGAAGGCATTCAGGTCAGGGTGATACGGAGGCAGACGAAGAACCGTATGACCACTGTTATTCCCCTCTAAGATTTCGTCTAGACTGTATTTTGTTGGTGGTTTATTTTGCTGGATTTGGTTGAAAAGCTCTGCCTTAAACATTTTTGGTGGGAAATGTAGCCTATGTTGTGTTGAGTCAACATGCCTGCATGTCCGCATTTAGGGAACTTTTAGTGGGGATTTTATCCAGTGTCACATTGTTATAACAGGCATTATCAATAATAATTACCGATCTTGGTTTCAAATTTGGCAACAGTTTTACTTGAACCCACAGTTAAAGCTGTTCATGTTTTTTTGGTAGTCCCCTGTACGTTGGCTGGCTTTCCACTGGAGAAATGTGTTCGGTATAAAACAATCTCCTCAACCTGCGTGTACGATGATTAGACGGTCTCCATTACCAACTGGAACATGAAGTCCACCATTTGTACTATCCTGCCATAAGTAGCGTGATTGGTTACCACATACGTCTCGTCTGTGTACACTATTGGTCGGCCTCCCTTCTAAATTGCCTCATTTGCCTAATAAAATGTATCCCGTTGTTTCTTATATCTTCTCTTTCAATTAGGCTTTTTCTGTTATTCCTAGTGTTTCTCCACAGATCTTTCAAAATTTGTCCCAAACTTGTGTTGGAGCCTATGAAATTGATGGCTTCGAACAGTCTCAATCGCAACTTCTCAACTGTCGGGACACATTTGTCAGATACATAGAAGTTATGTACAGTTCTCCTAACAACTGCTTTGTTAAACTCATCCATTTCTGTAATATTCTTTTTAATTCATCCACCAATTTTTTTGCTTTTTTGTGACATAAATTTTACAAACTGTGTACAAATTTGAAACTTTAATGTAATATAACATTTGACAATATTTTCTTAAATTTGATAGGGTCCTCGTCAAAATTGAACGAGCCGTTTCGGAGGTGTGGGTATGATACCGTAAACTCGAGTATACACTATTTTTACACAGGCAGTAGTTGTAGGAAACCAATTTTTTTCAGGAAAGAACCCGCACTCCTCCCCGCGCCCATCCCAACGCTCGCCAATCCATCTGTCAAGATCTGTGGCGAACCTTATAGCCTACAAATTAAGGGATCTAGTGCTCTAGTTTCTAGTTGTTTTCTCATATAGATCAACCTGGTACCACAGAAGCTAAGTAGGTCTATTGATGTACTACTGGTCATTACGCTTTTACACATTTTAACCACACAACATATCTCATAGGTGTACTCAATTACTTTGTTCACTGTGCAATTACAGGAAACATGTAATTTCTGTATCTTTAAGCTTTTTTTATCAATTAGTATTCTCAATTTTGACTTCAATTTTGGTATCAATATCGATTTTGTTGTAGCCAAAATTATTAGTAGGCCTAACTAGTAACTGTGGTAAGAAAAAATAGAAAACTAAAGAAGCGTATCACTGGTCTTAATGTTTTTTGGATAGCTAGTATCACTGAGACTTCCATCTGAAATACATTGTTTACCAATTCACTGTTCTGCAGGAGCAACGTGAAATATTGTAAGATCAATGATCATATGCAAGAAAATTTTTTTATAAACCTGCTATGTCTTAATAAATAGAGTTTTCCATATTAAGAAAATATATTGGTCTTTACAGGTAATACCCGTTGATAAACTTATAAAAGGAAGATTTCAGGATAATTTTGAGTTCCTTCAGTGGTTTAAGAAGCTGTTTGACGCCAACTACGATGGCAGGGGAGTATGATGCTCTAGAGACTAGAGGTGGCATCCCACTGGGGAGTGGGGGGACCGGATCTGCCAGGATTTACTGCCCCCCCTCCACCTCGTGCGCCTGTCAAGGCGATACACAAAGCGGGGTGAATGTCGCTTGTTGAACCAATCTTCCACACTCTTTTACATCCACTTAACAGTATTTTCTGATACTTGTCCTGGGAGTTTTTAACCATGGATTAAAAATGTATAATCCATGTTTTTAGCCCCTGAGCTGTAGAATAATTGAAATTAGGCTTTGAATTCCTTAACAGTTCTAACTTGCATTACAGCCGTTTCGGCATTACAATGTCAACTTCACACACTTGTGGATTTCGGCTGAACTTTGACAACACTGCTTCTACTGAAATTCTACTAAAACGTCTTGATTTGAGTTTTGTTCTTAACAGCTGTTGAGTACAGTAGGAAGAATATATTGTCTCATAAATTGCTGCTATTGACTAAATGTATCGCTTTCGAATTTCTTTGTACCTTATTTATTTGGAATTATTGAACTAACGAGTGGAAGATTTGGTCAACAGATGTGATGTATGTTTAGATGTACCGTAACATTGTCTGCACCCTTAGATAGAGCTTGTTGGCTGACTACACGTTTCCCGCATGACTTTTTATTTTATGTTTTTGCTTATTTCAGATCGTTCCAATAGACAAACTTGTGAAAGGCCGATTCCAGGACAATTTTGAGTTTTTTGCAGTGGTTCAAAAAGTTTTTCGATGCCAACTATAATGGCCAAGAGTATGACGCTTATGCTCTCAGAAACGGGGAACAAATGGGTAATGGGGGCAGCACTGCACCACGCAACAATGCCCCACCCCCAGTGGCACCTTTCACGCGGTGAAAAAGCCCGTAGTAAAGTCTGATTTAACAACCCACTCAAAACCTGTTGGGCGAGCTGGTGATTATTAGTTTCTTTTATTCAGATTTAAGTTTTGTATTTTTATTATCTTATTATTTATTAATTTATGCCCGCATTCAGGCCTATTACTTTTGGGTATGTTTTTTGATGCCCAAAATTATTTCAAAATACCAAATATAAGGTTATAAATTAATATAAGTTAAGTTGTAAAGGCATCACTTAGAATTTGTAGCCCTTAAACACTGGGTCAGAGTTAAATGAAGAGTTGTCCACATTATTGTTAATAGCTGTTGATTTATTTGCAATATTTTTATACAAGATTCAAGATGTTTCTGTTCTACATCCAAACAGTATAATGATGCGTTATCCGAATATATTATCAACACTAATCCTATTTTGGTTCCCATATCACTTCTCATTTAAACATGAGCTTTTTAATTATTATTTTGTAAGAAGACCATGCATTGTTTTTTGCTAGCCTGAACACCTGCCTTTGCATTTTCCAACAGAGACAAGTTTTTAACATGTTGCTGGTTTTGGCTTTAGCTCGTAATTTAGCAAATATCACATTGTATTCAAATTTTACAATTATTGTTAATTTTACAAATTTACAAAATTATTTTATATTATTATGAATAAAATTAGTTCAAGCATTCTGAGTTAATTATTATTTTTTAGATAATTACACTCATATATTTTTTAAACCAAATGAAAATTGAATTTAACTATTCTACTGGGTTTTAAGTATTACATTGTTAATGGGAAGATTTCATTGCAGTAGGTTACATAGTGAAGTGTTACAAAACACTGAAGATATCTTTATCATTTCATCCTTATCACAAAAAAATATTGCACCAAAAATAAACTTTCATGTTTGATTATGAATGTTACATCAGTTGATTAAACTCATAGTTTAACAATAGATTAGAGTAGATAAAAGAAATTCCCAAACTATAAAATTGTTTCATAAATCATTATCTTTTTATTATGCTCATCCTTAAATGCTTTGAACTTACTGTAAATGAATAATATTGCAATTTCATTAACTTGAACAGAATTGAATAAATGGTAACCGGTTTCATATGAGAAATTAGCCATATAAATGCTTACATTTGAATCACGGTATTCTAACAAATTTATAAGCCTATAGATAAGTTTGCAAAACCTCATCTGGCAAACAAGCTTCTTGGGCTATTTTGTACATGGAACTTCACTTATTTTTGATCAGACAAGAGGAATTGTTTTCCACTCAGGTCCTTATCACTTGGTACATAATCCCACTTTGCATTTTATCAATATATAATTAAGATGTATTAATTTTTTTATAAATAGCATGTTCTTATTCTTATTATAATGAAAAGAACTTTCGTTCGTAATATAGGAAAATGAATGCATGGTAATTTTATTCATGTATCAAATGCAATTTCAAGATTTTATCACACAAAAAGTGATTGCAGAAAGAAGACTAGTAATTTGGCCATAGGATTCTTAACTTTAAGCGATTTGCTTGGATACAAATTGTTTGACGGATAAGGGTTGTACGAATTAAGATTTGTTTGTCAAGAAGAAGCAGTTTGCTGTTGTTGACTTGATTGTTGGTGTATGTGGTTTTATCATTTATCTTGTGTTTTCAGTGCCCAAACCTCAACAGCCAAACAGAGTGGGAACCGCAACCAGACAACAACCTCACGGTAGAGGAGACATGGGCAAGATTGAGGAGCTCAATCAAAAGGTAGAGAATATAGGTGGAGTTCAATATACCTTACTATCTGTAAAGATGGACTGATATCGATATTTAACTTTATCAAATTAATATTCTAACCAAACAAATGTTGTTTAATATATTTGAATTTGTTTCTGTTATTTGTTGTGTTAACCTACAAACACGGTGGTTTGTTTAGATGGTTGACCTAAGTATCACTGTAGAAGGATTGGAAAAGGAACGTGACTTCTACTTTGGCAAACTGCGAGCCATAGAAGTCCTGTGTCAAGAACAAGAGGGGGATCTACCTGTATTAAACAAAATCCTAGACATTTTATACGCGACAGAGGTGAGTTCAATATCTGTCAAACACTAACCAAATAATGCTTGATGCCTAAAATACAGTAACACAGTGGTTGCTACCAGACAATAACATTACTTCTTGAATGCTAAAATAAAAACCTAAAAAATAGGTATGGAATGAGCAGTAAGTTGTATTAAAAAGCTTCTTAACTCCTACTTTTTCTAAAAAAAAGTGTTGTATTTGCCTGTAGCTCTCTTTTACTAATTTTAGCAATTATTAACCTGTTGGATTGTTGGTTTGGCTTGTTGCCGTATTTCCTAGAAGAGTAACCCAGCTTTTTAGAAGTCTAAATAAGCGTTGAGTCCTCAACCATTGTTTGTTCTTGGGTTTTTGTTAAGGTTCAATTAAGGCCACTAAAACTCTTAAGAGAACACTGACCGTAGTAAGTTGATTATTTTTTAAATTGAGCTATACTGTTGAGAAGTCCGTTTAACATGGTGATTCTAGTTGTTCAACATTGCGTAACAATACAATAAGTGAGACTTATTACAGGAGGCTGAAGATGACCCGGAAGTGTCCCCTTCCTCAGGACCACAAAATAGAACTTTTGATGCTTGAGGTAACCAGAGTGTGGGGCTGGTGCCACCCCTTCCGTAATCTGTCTTATTGTACCAAATCTCTCAAGCAGAACTTTCAACTTGGCCACAAAAATGACTTTTTTGAATTTTTAGGAAATATCTAGTAAACTGTGGGATTAGAAAAGGAACTTTTTCTAATCTCATAGCATTACATCCCGTAGCACATTGCTAATCACAAGGTGAACTGTACTTAGCCTCTAGGTCATTGACCCTAATCGACATGAAAATAATGTGCAAATATGACCTTAAAAAATTGTGAATTTCTTTTTCAAGTTTGAGTGAGAACTCGGTGATAACTTTTAGAAGGTTTATTATTTTCTTACATAAATCTAGAGGCGGGAAATATCTGACGGAAATCATCTAAGTACCAGCTGGAAACACAGAAATCAAGGGGGTTTTAGAAGTCAATTTTGTGGACACCCTTGTGGATCCTAATCCCACTTATTGTATTGTTGTAAAATAAGTGTTGTTTGAAAATTGTTTCAAAATAAACTTTGTTTATACATGTCCACCACATATTATATTTTTTATAAAATACTCCAAGAGCCAAGAAAAGTATAGATGTGAAATATACAGGGTGATTGGTACTCAGTGTGACAAAAATTTTTTTGTTATGTTTTTAGGAAAAAGCATATAGCTTGGATTAAATAAATATATAGGATGGAGAGGACACAGCTAACTCACCTGATGAAAGGTTGCAGACGAATTAAAGAACACATAAAACACACACATAATAGTACTTGATACTTCGCCGCTTTCAGAGGCTTCTTCAGAAGTAGGCCTAGATGGCAGTTACAAGAACAACAAGTATTCAAGTTGTTCTTGTAACTGCCATCTAGGCCTACTTCTGAAGAAGTCTCTGAAAGAGGCGAAATATCAAGTACTATTATGTGTGTGTTTTATGTGTTCTTTGACTCGTCTGCAACCTTTCATCAGGTGAGTTAGCTGTGTCCTCTCCATCCTATAAAATTTTTTTTGTGTAATTACAAAGTAAATGAAGTTTGATGATGCATATAAGAGGTTCTAAGTCTAAAAATTGGCTTCCCAAAGAATTATTTTAAGTTTTTAAAAAATAACCATGTTTTTAAACTTATTACAGCAGTTTCTCAATTACCTGTAAAAGGATTTGAGGTAGTATAATGTCATTTTCGTGTTCCTACATTAAATTTGAATAAGGATAATGAAAACGATGAAGGATCAATAGTAAAAACTCCATTGTAAATTGATCCAAAGATAAAAATTAGGGTGTTTGGTAAAAATTAAAAAACCCATTGGTCTATTGCATTTTTAGCGAATTTCCCTATAGGGAAGTAGCTATTACCGTAGGTGGCATGATAAGACCTAGGCCCAGGAACCGATTTACTTTTTCATTTTGATGTCCCCAGAGGCCAAAAATACCATTTGTTCAAATTTTTATATATGTAGATATATATAGCCTATATATATATATGTGTCCGTGAACGCGATAACTTGAGTAATTTTTGTCCGATTTTTATGAAATTTGGTTTAAAGGTATAAAGCGGGATAAACTTGAATGAGTTCGCGAACCAGCATGATCCGACTATAAGAACGGGGGTTTTATGGGATAAAAATAGGTTTTTTCCCATTTTTGACCCTAAAAACACAAAATTTCATAATTTCTTTCTAAACCATTTTGAAGAGCTTAAAAAACAAATAATTTAGTATACTGAAGCGTTATTATGCGCCTAATGGTTACGGAGAAAATTCAAAAAAATTGTTAATTTTAAAATTCCCATGTTATTCTTATGGAGAATAAGTCAACTGTTGTAGTTTGCATGTTTATGAACATATTTTGATGAAATTTTTAAAATACATTAATTTCTTACGAAACGACAGTAGGCCTACCTATTAACATTTTACATAAAAAAACTTGTTTACCCTCCCTGTTGCAGCAAACCTAAGTACTCGTTAAACTAATTCTATTTTAATAGGGAATAAATGTGATATTTTTAAGGAGATATTTTAGTGTAAATCCAATCAGGCAAATGGAAATTCGCTAAGTCTGCAGGTTTGCTGCGGCGGGGATATTCTACACCCTGTATACAAGAAGGTGGCCAAAAATGTTAAAAACTGCGCCATTTTACAAGCTTTCCAACCATATGCTACACTATTGAGCTTTAGGTCTGCTTATGTACGCTTTAGTGGTTTAGACTACAAAAAATGGTGTCATTATAATTTTAAACATAGAAAGTGTGCATGTATTAAGCAAAACTTATAATTTTGTTTCAGTTTGAACAGTAAAAACAGTAAAAAAGTTGCCTGTTTTCTAGTATTCAAACCACTAAAACGAACAAAAGCATATCTAAACTTCAATACTGTAGCATATGGTTGGAAAGCTTATAAAATTGCGCATTTTTAAACATATTTGGCCACCTTCTGTATACAGGGTTTAGAGAAATGCATTAGAGGGGGGTGCAGGGTATTTTACCATTATCTTTAATTCCAAATAATATAAATCTGCTGAGCACACTTCTTTAAGAATTTGCTGTACATATTAGGCTTAGAGTGTGTTTTAAATGTGTAATTGTCATTTAATAATGTCTAGAATTGTGTTACCCAACTTTTGTAAATTTTTGTTTTACCACCTTCTGATTAATCAATTTTCCTGGAGACAAAATTATCTATATACTAGCAGAGTACCCGTCCTTCGTACGGGATTGGAATATAAGTATAAAATGCTTATTGCAGTTATACTCAATTTTTGCGTTTGCAATAAGAGAGGACACAGTTTGATAAAATTTGTTTTTTTAAATTTACATTATTCTATAGTATTACACATTCTACCATAGCCATAATGTTCTACCACTTCACCTAAGAACAATAGAGAAAAATAAATTATTAACAATTCACAAAATATCACAAATTATTCATGAAATGAAAAACATAAACATAACTGTAAACAATCATACTTTGACAGTTCTCATTGTGAATCACAGTTTTTTGTTGCTGCTTAGTTCAAATTAGCTGTTTTCATAAATGCAAAAACAATATATAGTGCTGCACCCTGTTGGTATATCTTATAACGTTTTTAATGCTTTTCTTAGAACCAACTTTTTTAGTTGAAACAGCTGACTAAAATTCTTTAATTCCCTTTAAATATGAATACTCATAAGGTTAACATGGAGAATTAAAGAGTCCGAAAGGATTTTTGAGTTAAGAATATGCATATATGTTAATCGGGAATGTAAGCTATCATCATGCCAAATTTCAGCCCAATCCGTCCAGTGGTTTATGCGTGATTGAACTTCAAACACACAAACAAACAAACTTTCACATTTATAATATTAGTAAGATTAGGTTAATGTGTTCTCATTCAGTATGCAGTTTTATTATACAGGGTGTTCCGCAACTCTCTACCAAAATTTTAGACCATTGTCCCTGAAACATATCTAAATACTGTATTTAAATTGTCCGGAAGTCCTTATTTACCCACACAGCCGCCATTTTGTTTTTTTCCTTTTTATACCTATATTTTTTATGGCATCCAAGAATTTCTTAAAACAAAAGTTAATATTGAATTTTGATGTGTATCTACAATATCCATATTCTCTATATATGTCATATTTTAACTAAGTATTTAGTAAACTTTGTACTTTATTTGTTAATTTGGAATGTTTTGTATGTGTTTTGACTATGTCTAATCCTTTGTACAAAGAAAGGTCAGTGGCAATAAAACTCTTGATTCATTAAACAAAAACTAGAAAAGTCATGAAATAAAATTGTATCTCGTAATTTCATCAATAGTGTAATTACAATGCTAGTCCCAAAGTAACACATCTTGGGGCTAGACAATGGTTTAGTAGTGAAGCAAAGCCACGCCCCGGAAAAAAAACTATTGATCCCTGGAATTGAACACCCTTGATATACAGTATTGAGGCAGTGAAACGGCACGATTCCGATACCAGCTGACAAGAAATTGGGGGCTATTAGAGTGCAGGAGAAATTACCATAGGTGTCTAGACAAGTGGAAATTTCAGTAGCCATGGTGCGTTAGAGGAGTGCACAACACACGTTTGCTGTAAAGGCATGTTACAAAAATGTGGATGTTATTGGTTTGTGATCAGCGCACTTTCCTTGTTGTGAGTTCAGTCTATCGCCGGGGGACTCACGTGCCATCAAGGAAAAAATATTCCATTTTGGGTGAATAACTTTGAAGCCACTGCTGGCACGACAAAGCGCTACAAAAACCATTGCAGACATTATGCAAACGCTAAATTAGTCATGGGCTGATTTCAATTCATAACTCAACAATTTGGTGCAAAAACAAGTACACTATTTTACTGACACTGTATTAAAAAATATAATTATTTTTTTTTAGGTGAGAACATTGACTTCCACTCATGTACTAAGGATTTATGTTTAAACAAATATTCTTTTTTTCTAAATGAATTATTTGTGATTTTCAAAATCTTGCCGCTTTTACTGCGCTCCCTGTACT